TTTTGATTTAGTCAGATATATTTTATCCAAAATAGTTGCCATGGTGACCAATCACGGCTACAAAAATTGTCATTTCTGTTTTCACACAATGAAATCAACATTCTTTTTCGACGACAAAACTCAACATTTACCATCTTGCATATTCTACCAGTCACAGTTTTGTTCTTACCTTTTTTCAAGTGATAAAAATTGTATTTATAGCCTTTTTAGAAAATAAAATTTCTCTTGCAACCAACCAGTGCTTAGACAACGGGACTTAATACCTACTCTAAGTGCTTGAACAGGTTTTAGTTCGATTTCCTGTGGCCCGAGGCCGTAGGCCGGGGGAAGCATTTCCAAGACTGAGGTCACAGTTTTTCGCCATACGCACCTCCCAGCCGGCAAATATCATATATTTCTTTGCCACTCTAGGATGAAAATTTACGAGAAACCATGTTTAGCTAACTTAAATACAACGATAGTATGGCGAGGAAACGTAAATGAGACCACGAGGCTTATATAAGGATAGGATTTCTCTCAAGAGAACAAAAGTTCGCACTTATACATAATAATCGTACCATATGTAACAGTAATAACATCGCATAATAGAAGTATGATACATTTAATATAAAATATAAGAAAGAAGAAAGAAAGTTGTTGGTAGTTGAGGATAAGGAATTTTTTTTTTAGTTTAATTTTGAAGGTCGCTGGAGTATTTTAATTTGGTAACTAGGGGTAAACTGCCCTATATCTGACGGCACCGTTAGTTAGATTACAGCCTTGATAATCCTTTTAAATGGCCCGGCTTTGCATGTGAGAAATGACACCGTAGGTTCTACATATTTGAGAGAAAAAAAAAACTTGAAAAATGTGATTGAACTATTTTGTATAATGGGGAATTGAAAGAGCCTGTGGATAACAATTCGAGAGACGTTTCGCAAATGTCAATTTTAGTATTCTTTGAAAATTAGAGAACATCAATTTTACTGAAACTGATCTATTCCGCCTGAAATTCATAGATCAAAAACGGCTATGGCACATTGGCGTATGAAAATGCTTGGGACAGTTTTATATACCAATGTGCTATAGCCCCTGCTATATGTTAAAATGTCAAAAATATTTTCATCTACATTTTTTGTGTCTCGTTAATAGCTTATTTTCCGGTTGTCAATGACTGTCAAAGCTGATATATTCAAGTAGTCACCATTTAAATCCCTAAATATGGCACTTTTGGTGACAGTTGTCAAATGAAAGCTCAGACGATGAGGTATTTTGAAATATGACGCTTAATTTGTAGTTAGAGGTAGAACAAATTTTGTTAAAGTTACAAATACAAGCAGAACCCGATTCAAGATGGAATAAGTAACTGGCGGTTTTTTTAGGGCTCGAAAATAATGAAAAAAAGAGGGCAGCTTTAAAACGAGTAACAGAGCTCCTTCCCATTCCTCTCGCGGCTGTACTTCTCTAAAATCCTCATAAAAGCCAGCCGTGCAGACTAAAGTAATTTTTAACATTCTTAATATGTGCTCCACTTGTCACAGACGTCAATTACGTTCTGTTCTCCTACCAGAGACTAAGGACCTCCCCTTGTTCTGTAACGTATTCTTTTGCGAGACACTTCACTTTCAAACAGATCACCCACTATAAAAATAACTTTCGATCAATTTTTGGCCACTATGTTGGTGATGAAAAATATTGAAAAGAAAGGAGGAAACCTTGCGAGCACTGTTCTGTGACGCTCGGTAAAAAGAATCCATCAGAAAACGGGATGCAGTTGCCAGAAGTGCTTAGACTTTCGGAGAGAAATTGAGGACAATATTTTGAGAGGTAAAGGCAGCCTTCAACTAAACTTCTAAATCAAACGAACTTATAGAACTTACAAATTTAGTGGGTCTGAACATGATGAATTTACTTGTAAGCGGTGGCAGAGTATTGGCCATAACAACCAGCAGCAAGGTATTATTTGAAAGGCATTTGGAAAGTAATTTCTCGTTCCAAAATTAGTAAAACAAATACTCATATCATAAACCTTATCAAGATTGCACATGAAATAACGGTAACATTACTCAACTGTGTAGTGTATTTGGTTAAAAAATTCTGATTTCATGGCAACGATCAAAACTCTGTCATTATGGAATTTTACCTTGACCTTAAATTGACGAGCGTTGAAAAAGAAAAGTTATAGACTCAAGACGGTGAAAATACCAACGCTAAATGATCAACTGTGAAATAAAGATAAGTTTTTCTAGGAGCTTCCTTAAATTGCTTTGACATGATGTCTTCCCGCTGTATTTAGTGGATAGTGGATAATATCGATACGTCTGATAGTTATAAAGTAAAATTCGTTATATTTACCAAGTGGTTCTAAATAAACGACCTTTTCTAATATATATATATTTTAAAGAAACAATCAGCCTGTCAGCAATAAAGGAAAAGCAAATCAGCCGTAATCTTTAATTAAGCTTTCTCTTGCCAATCGTCTTTGATTTCTGTCAATCAATCGCTGCGAGCTGTACTTCAGATGAGGCGACATAGCCTGCGGGTCGAATCTGTGCTCAATGATTATGTTTGTTAGCTGTCAACAAAAAATTGAAAAAGTGCACCAAGGTAACCAATGCTTCGGACTTAAACCTCTCTGTCGTCACTAAAAATCGGACATATATGCTCCTTTCACGCGTTCAGAAGCAGTATACATCGAATTATTTCTACTTCCTCTCAGCTCAGCAAGTCTTACAACGAAGCTGGTGGGAGAGAGAGAGAGAAAGAGCTTTGAGACACTTTGCGTGCTGTTACATGATGGAGTCGCATTTGGTCAGATGTCTTTTAAGTGTCTCGGCTACTTGAAAAGTTCTTACTGCAATGAGATGTTTAGATTGTTCATGATTATTTCATGGTGCTTATGTGTGAAATGAGCATAAATTCACCCTATGTGTGCCACTGCTGTCCGAGTTAACGGTGTAGGGTTGAGTTGCAAACGCGTGAATAACACAGCGTATCATCCCGAAATGGAAAAAATGGAATTTATTGCATGTTAAAAGAAATTAGTGTTACCAAATGGCAAGGAGAAAGGCTTAGAAAAACCTCATAATACCCTGTTTGTTGATCGGATAAGATTTTTTTAATTACTGTACAATGCAAGTGTAACAAATTAACTGCCATGCCTAACTTTTCATTGTGATAGTTTAAGTATCCGACGGGTTCATGAAAGTGAAATCAATTTTTCTGATGCGATTTTAGACTTCAATGGGACTTGAACTAATGGTAATTAAAAGAAGATGGCTCGGTGTCCATAAATAAAATAACATAATAAAAAATCATTTGCATTTTAATTTCAAGTTTAATGAGCTTAAATTAAGTTCCTAAGCTGAGTTGCTTTGTTTTTTCGTTAGTTCATAAGAACTAATTATATTTTGTCACAAAAGCCGAATCCTTCTACAGCGATTTAGAGGGTTCTTAAGCTAATTCAGGGGGTTAAACAAGATGATCAAGCTCAGAAATATTAATTGAATAATCTAAAATGTTTTTTAGTATTTCAGGAAACAGTGATTTATCTGTTGTTTTTATTAAACTTCATGTCTTCACATTTCGCTGATTCTAATAGGCCTGGACCTTGCATAAGGTTGCCGATCCGCACCAACGATTCTTATACCGGCTTAAGTGGCCGCTTAATCGCATCAGCTGATGTTTCTGTCCTTTCTCAATTTAACACACTATCTGGAACGCCAATCTTTTATGAGATATGCATACTTATGATGAATTCTCATTTAGATGACACATAAGTAATATCGTAACGTTATCAGTTATAGCCGTCTTACCTGCTAATTATTTAGTGAATTGACCACGGCAAGAATCATTTCAGCAATAGGTGATTGCCTTCTGCCAACTTGAAGCTGCGCTCTATTTTTTTTGTTTCTTTAACATCATTTTAGCGGTTGAAAGGATTATTTTTCTCGTTCGGGTCTTATGATTATCATACTTGAATTTACCATAAAGGCTAGATTGCATGTTTCCATGTCTTTTTAAAATTAAAAAAAAAAAAGCGAATTAACGATTAAATTTTATCATATTATGCCTATATAGCAGACACAGAATTCCTACAGTGAATGTGTAACTTAAGAGAATCTTAAGAGTGGTTTTAGTGCCAATCACTTTAGTGCTTAGGCTTCCGCGGTTCACAGTAAGCAGTAGGAGTCCTCCTCAACCCTTTGACTCCCAAAAGTGATTAACATGTAACTTCTCTCCACAATATCCATAGATTATCCAGCAAACGGGTATTGAGAAAACTCCAACGTATTAGGCAGAGGTTGTTATCATGATCTGACACTAAATTCTCATAACTGATTTACAAAGAAATGTGTAGAAGCAAAGGGGGAGAATTAGTAAATAGATCATAGGAGTTGAAGTGTTCTGTATCTGGTCACTCTGTTTTCAGCATCTTCCAGCGATCAAAATGATTCGCATGTTTTTTTACTTCCGTGGGACGGGAAAGGGACGTAAGAAATAGACATTAATCAATATCGGCTCTGATTTGATCATGCTTTCGATTTTTCATCGATCGAGGAAGATCAAATAAAGACATGAATTTTCCGACCTCGGCATGTGTCCATTTATTTCGCGGTTCTATCTCGAAAACGATGAATCCCAAACAGATCCCCGGAAGTGTGCTTATTGTTGCCTAGAGGATTTCCGATAGCGTTATCTTTGACGATGCCTAGCTACGCTGTATGTCTGCGTGACTATTTCTTTCAAGGGCTTTCTCTGAGATTTACAAAGAGTCTGAGAAAACCCGGGAATTGAGCTACATTATTTCGACCTTCGAGCAATTGGTCGTCGTCAAAATGTGTGATTCATCAGTGAGCCACCCTATCATTATTGAAATCAAATAACGATTAAAATGATGTCAAACATCTTTTAAGAAGAATACTTTGCATGTTAAATATAGTTTAGATTTCAGTGACGTCAGATCAAAAGGGCACATTCACGATAAGTTTTCAAGTTTCAGGTGTCATTCTTTCGGTTGAGTGACTGCGTTCCTTTATCACCTCACAGCAGTTAAATTAATCGTACATGAACTCCCACCACATAGTTCCGGAGGAAAACTTGGATTCGAGCTAATCTCAAACTATGGACTCTAATAGATGATTCAGGGAGCCCTTTGCAGGTATTTGACTTATTGCCGCCGGATAAAAAAAATTATAGGTTATATGAGTTGTTATATTGTATTGTGGACACAAAGCAGCGACCCGGAATGCCACTCGGTTTAATTTGAGGTTTGTTTGTTAACGCGGACAAGACACTTTCGCTGAGTTTTTGCGGTAAAGAGGGGCAGTTGCTTTTCGCTGCGTGAATGTCGGAAAGTTAAAGGCGACGGTCAGAGTAACGTATGTTGTGTGAAAAGGTTTGTAAAATTTCAACCACGTCAAAAATCCAAGGTTTTAATGGATGCATTCTCGAAGCAGAAACGCTCAAATAATTCCAAAACTGTTAATTTCATTGTAGGTTTTCTCTATCAAAGTGCGGCTATATCGATTAGTTGAATACTCGAGTTGAGGTTAGTAAACAGAGAATTTGTCTCTTAATGTGTCTTAGAGGTTTACATAGCGAAGATCACTTCAGGTTTTAGACGTATTTAACTGAATGATCATATTAGTAAAGCAGACAATCGTCTTACTGTGTTGAGCAACAAAGCATCATATTTGTTGAATATCATGCGATAGTACCTAGTCAAACAGACTGTTCCAGTTCTTTTGCACGTGACAGACTTCCATTTCGACAACCAAGCCAATGTTTGTTTATTTGTTTCTATTTTGAGTGAGAAAATTAAATGTTAAAAACGACGACAGAGTATCAAGCCTGCAAAAATCGATTGTTATTGTCAATCATTGTTTTCGCAATTAGCTGAGATTTTTTATGTTATCTTCTAAACTTATGCAGCTTTCCTATGTGTTCAATATCTCGCAATAAGCTCGCAAAGTCAATTTGTTTTAACTTCAAGGTTTTTGATTCGATCTCCCACAAGCGAAGTACATCATTCAGTAATTTTGTAGGCGATTTGAGGTGAGCTTTTTGAAGTATTTCGTATGCCTCTTGGCATGGTGACACGATCATTTTTCCGGCGTTCTCCGACCCTTTGTCTGGGTACAAACCTTTATAGGCCATCCGTTCTTCCGGTAATTCATGATTATTCAAGTGATTGTACATCAGTTCGCGAGTGTGGTTCAGTTATAACTTAAGCAACTTAGCCACCGCACCTTCCACTGACAGCTCTTCTTTCTACGAAGGCAAAACTTAAGACTAGCAATTATTACTTAGGACGCCCTGTGAAGTATCTCTTGAAGTACTGCTCGAGTTATTCACCACAAACCTACAGTGTAAAATTAAGTTAAAAATCCATCTCGAACCCTTTTCGTCTTCCGTCTATAACTTCGTTCCGCTTCGAAAATCAATGCAATTATTAGCTTTTTACGGTCTTCTAGCAGCAAAAGTCAAGCTTAAAAATTTTAGCCTAGAAACGATCTTTTTGCTGTGTGCCAGGCCGATTTGCGTAAAATAGCTCAATAAAAATATATTGGCGCTGAAATATTGCTCAAGACAAGAGAAGAGATTCATCAATCATTCATGAAAGACAAATGATGTTTTTTTTTGTTTTTTTTTTCATCTAATTTGGCGAGCAAGTATGTAATTTTCGAAGCCGCCTTCGACCAAAAACCGCCACAACTAAAGAGTTTTGATCGCGTGTCAGTGATGTACATAAAGATATAAGCGATTTGAACTATTTCTATTATGATACGAGAAAAGAGAAGGCACTCAGGGTTAACGTGCCGTTCTAATCAAGCGGAAATCGATCAGTCGTCACTTGCTCGCAAATGCATCTTTCAAATCAACATTAATTAGCAAAAATCGAACATAAACAAGGAACCCTGTTTTCTTATGTTTTCCAATTCCGCAGTATTTTTCGAATAATAGCTCTCCGGCGATACTGTTCTTAAATACACCGTTAAAAAGTTGGTATTTGTCCGCTGGATTAGGGTCAAGCGTTTGTCACGTTTTATCCTTCTTCTCTTGAAGGTAATTGCATGCTTGAACAAATATTGTTGTGACCTTTTCGTCATTATGGAAAATGTAGTAGCTACGTGTTAGAACACACGCTGGGCTGAGGTCGAGCCCCCACTGGTAGTGCTCTTCAAGCGTACCATGGCTCAGCGCCTTTTTTTTGTTTGTTTTAAAGGCTTTTTAGATGTCATTGCTACTAAGTCGAAAGAACAATGGTGGTCATTGCTTGTTTTTGATGCGTGTATTTGCATTAATTATGGAGCAGTTATTTAATACATTTGTTACACTCCTCAATACCGACTCACCTTCGATTTACGCCTCACGATTTTCCTAGTCATACAATCATAAGGAACTATTGTATCTCAGAAATCGATTCACAAGTCATGAAATATATAGTTCGTGGGCAGCTTTCATCATGTATTCAGCATTGCTAGTGGGTTAGGCTTGTCTCGGGCTTGTAAAGTGCGTTTCAAAATGCGACGATCCTTTCGGGTTGTGTACGAACTGCGCTGATACTTTGAAGGTAGGATTCATAAGCCTAATTATTACTTTTCTCTCTTTTTAAACAATAATAACTTTCTCTCCGAGGCGAGGGAAGGAAGGAGCGGACAGAAAAGAAAAATTGGGGAGGGCTGGATACATGTGAGAAAGGAAGGAGGGAAGTGCTTGTATCTCCGTTGGCTAAGAAAGGCAGGGATGAGGTTGAAAATCAAAGATAACTCCGAATTACTTCTGACTTGCTCTTTAACCTATTTTTATATCGTCTGCTTTAGAAAAAATGTTCCTCTCCTACTTGAACTTGTTAGTAAAGGCGACTCTTTTCGCTAGATCAAAAGCAGAACCTGAAAGGTTAAGGGTTTTTTCCTCGGCGATGATTGGTTGTTAAGAATTGTTCGTTTCTTTTTGCCGATAGCTTTATCAGTACAAGCACACGGTGTCAAGGTTTTCGTGCAGCATTTGGGAATCTCATTGTACAGAGCTGAAAGGTGATGATTGACAGGAAGAACTAAGTATAATAATTATGGCGCAAAATGTAATGAAAACGTGAAGCGAATCAGTTGACCATTGTAGACGCTTCCTCACAATTTGGTAATTGTTAAAGATAACCAACTTTGTTGAGTGTCTAATGCAAATGAATATAAAAAACGCCCCCGGTGAGGAAAACCCTCCAACTAGATCTCATCGTTAAAGGATGACATTTTGATCCGCGACGTATGTACGTGGTCGCATTTCTGTTTACTCAGAACAGTCAGTAAATCTGTTGACTTTGGTGCCAAACATATTTCAAATGTGTGGAGAATGAAATCAACCTTTCATTTTAGTTATTTATTTCCTCTAAACTGTAAAAACTGATTTCAAATTAAAATTGTTTTTCGCTGCAAAGGAAAAAAAAGTGGGGTTTGAATTTTTTTTTTCAAAATTCAAATCCGTTTTTCTGGAAATTGGAAAACAAAGAGCAAAAACGCTAAAAGAAAACTCGAATTTCATATCCAGTTTATCAAAAAATTATAAAACAAAAAGTTAAGTTGCCAGATGTTTTTCATGTTGTGGAAAAAATAAAATGGATTGTAAATGAACTAATTTCCAATTTTTACAGCAAAGAAGGAAAACGAGATAATTCTGGTCGCCAACAGTTGGTATTTAGGGACCAGCTAATCTCAATTTTAGACCCTGTGTCCGAACGTTATCATTGTCACTGCTGCTGTGCGTGTGCGGATGGAATTTAAAACCACGTTTACGTTCATTCATGTATCTTTTCGTCTTTTTTTCCTCTGGCTCTGTATTTATTTGATGTGCATCACAAAGTGAACATCCAGACGAAGAACTACCCAAGAGCAATTCTGATACTGTTATGGCACCAATAATAATGGTGATAAAAAATAACCACAATAATGATTATAAATATAATTATATTAAAAATGTCATTTTTATTTAACGTGATCACATCAAAGGCGTCATCTGGCATTTTATCAAGCATCAAAAACTCGATGATCTCACTTCACCATAAGAGAAGCTTCGCTCGTTGAAATTAGATAGTAAAAGATGGAAGGCAATATGCTATTGTACCATTTACAGTTCCATGAAAAAAAACAATGCTTTCGTTCATTTGGAAGTGAAAGATTATACAGAGATGGAAGAGTTCCGCCTTATACATAGTCTGCTATTGAATGGAAGTGCGTAGATGAAGTTTTGTTTATTCGCAAGCCGCTCTTTTGACACGGAATGGAAATAAATCTTGAATTCCCCGAAGCAGTTGTGTTTAATATGAGATGATATGGCTAAGCAACAATTTTTGCTGATTGGTTTGCAGTTTGAGTTTTTTCCGTAACGAATTTGACGATACGAGACCCCATCAGGTACAACACCAACGGGAGGGACACTGCCGTGAGACAAAAGGCCTAATGAGCGGAACAACTACTCATTGCTGTTTGTTTCATGTTTATTTTGAGATTTCGATCTGTGAATATTGACTTCAGATATTAACATTTTATTGAACTTTTTTTTTCTCGTTTTCTTTTGTCAGCAGCATGTGGTCATTATGTAAATGGCACTTTTTAGGACGAGTTTTCATCTCACTAAGAAAAAAGCCATTTTGTCTTGTTTACTTAATTCTCATCGCGCCTACTTTTTTGAAAAAAACATCGAGGAAACCATAAACATCACGTACCAACCCAATACATGTTTGGCCAATGTCAAAGAAAAATCAAGTATTAAAAATGCATCAAGATCCCGGTTCATGAAACGCCTCATTTCGGACAATAATTTTTTGGATTGCTTCTTTTTATAGAAACTTAATGTTTCATTATGACATTTGTTTGCGAGCCTCTCGGTAAGATCAATATCGTTTTCCAGCCATCTGCCTCTCTTTAAGTAAAAGAGGCCGTAGCCAATCGTAAGGCAAAGACGCTCACATCAGTTTTATTTTCATTATAAGCCTCGTCGCTCGTAGAGCAAAAGAGTGAGCCACAATATGATAACTTGCGATGGTGTTTCGATGAACTATACACTATTACCTTATGAGAATTATTTTTATCATTTATAAAAGTGAAGTGGCAGTGCTTAACCTTGTGAAGTTAGCAAAATAGTCGCCAGGTAATTTTGATATTTAAATTTGCAGCCAAATTAATTAACATAATTAACATGTACCTGCGCGAATCGGAATGTTTGATGTCTTTTGCACCGTTTAATTTTCAAATTTCGTGTTCTTGGTATTCTTCTGTGTTTCGACATTTTAAAACACCCCCTGTTTGTCAATATTTTCTGTTCTTTTGCAGGTTGTCGACTGAGGAAACACTTAGGTAGACCGTGAGCTTGGAAGCGCAATTTTTTGGATAAATTTAATCGACATCAACTGTCTGTGCTTTCGTTTGTATTCGGTGGCCTTCAACACTGGTAATTTCACTGGATAACACGAAATACCATCTACGAACGATCTGCTGAGTTGATTTCGCTTGTGGCCACAGATCCAGATAGACGATCGTTTTGATTCTGTGTCTGCTAACTGGGTAAGGCAGCGTGAATGTATTCAAGGTATGGTGGTTTATGAGGGCTAAACATCCGTCGAAATGGCTGTAAGAACATGCGGATGGCTTGCTCTTTTGGTCATTCTATCTTACGTCCCTTCGCCGATCGCGGAAGAAGTTAAACTTGGCCTTTTAATCCCTTTCAAAAGCGCTGGTCGAATCGGGAACTATTTCCATCGAGGCGAGTTCTTTGCCTCCGCCATGAGTATCGCAGTAGATGATATCAACCGAAGGCCTGACCTTCTTCCTGGTATAAATGTCACTTTCATCTGGAACGACACCGACTGCGAAGAGCTTAAAACGCTGCAGTCCGTAGTATATCAAATGAATCAGGGCGTTACGGCATTTATCGGCCCGGGATGTAGCTGTAACACTTCTGCCAGGCTGGCTGCATCATTCAGTAAGACCATGATATCATATGTAAGTAACCCATTTTACAAGTTGGGTAATTATGATCTGAATGTCTACTTCTGTTAATGCCCACTTGAAACATCATTTGCTTATTTCGTGTTTATATATATTATGCGGGATCGCGTTCAAAAGAAAAAAATATTTACAAAGTCTACATAATTAGTACCGGTTTAGTTCAAATCATGTTTATCTTTAAAGGAGAAAATTGAGTAGAACAGTTTCTTACTGGGCAAATTGCGCATTTTTTTCCTTTCACGAAGTTTTTGGCTGGTTTGCTTTTGGCAATGCTGCGAATCGATCGAAATAAGATCGAAAAAAACAAATTTGAAAATTACTCAAACGTTTGATTAATTTGATTAATTTGACCATTAATTTCTGCCGTTAATTACAATTTGTCTTCTTTTTTAATCATGGGATAGAGATGTTAACTATATAAACAAGCATGTCCATGCTAGTCAAGGAAAACTTGCGTTTAATTAATCGTTCTTGGTTTTTAAGATAAATTTGAAAATGAGAGTGGGTTTAATAAAAAGTACCTTCACCGGTAAAAGCTGTCATATAAATGACATATCCTCGTCTCGTCGCTAAGTTGAATCGTCTCAATTTTCAGACGCACAAGGTTTTTCATAACAACAATGAATATGTCATACAAGACTATGAAATGATAGAAAAACGCCGCCGTGTGAGATGAAAACACCTGGATTTTTTTCATTATGAATAATTTTCATAAGCAGCATTTTGTCCCTGTTTGTCCTAAGAAAAATACTTCTGTATTTTATCAGAAAAATCGAAAGTGTTCAATATCAGATTCGAATTCAGAATATATTCACCGTCTCTCGACAGTTCTTTTTATGGAGGTGATCCAATATCATGTTTGACTTGTCGCTCGTTAACTGAGGATGTATTTTCATTACAAAACTGACGTCTCTCATAAATGTTCTTCTCTGTTATTTGATCTGGGAAACGCAAATTCGAAGCTATGTTGTTTTGTTTATGTGATCCACTCAAACACTAAAATGACAGTTTTCACATTAAACCCGTGAATTTTACTTATTACCAATTGTTGTATAATATATAATGGTAAACTGATTATCAGGTTTTTTTTTCTACTGGTTTTTTACAATTTACCAATTGTTGTATAATATATAATGGTAAACTGATTATCAGGTTTTTTTTCTACTGGTTTTTTCTTACAACTTTGCGCAATCTTATATCCTCCATTTCTCGATCGTTAAAAGATGGTGGTGAGGTGAGACAATTAAAAACAATGTCAAAAGAGTTGTAACGCTTAGTAAAGTGAATTGCTCGAACTCAGGAGTAACAATGGGTCGTATAGTCTGATTATCCGCGTGGGAGTAGTGCCGAATAGCAGTTGCAGCGACTGTGTTTCGACAACCTTAGCGGAAATCATTGTCAGACTCTGATGATGACTTCCGCTCACGGTGTCAAAACATCGGTCGTTGTTTGATACCGAGAAAGGTCCTCCATAGGACCACTCTCACCCGTGCGATTAGACTACACGACTAAAGCATGTCTTATCACAAACTAATACGATACTGTCTTCGGGAGATTACCGAGAGTCGAATTGCTTAACGCTTCAGGCGATTTTGTCGCCGAGCGAGAACCAGGATCTTGTCCTTGCCCCGGTTCTCCGAAGCGTGGATAACGATATCCAGTGGATAGCACAGTAAGTCTTGTTGACCCATCTGGCCCCGGTTGTTCGAAGATCGGCTAACGATATCCATTGAATAAATCTCTATCCGGTGGATAACGCTATACGTTTTTCTATCACTTATCCGCTGGATAGCGATTTATTTGTTGGATAGCGTTATCCACCCTTTATACAACTGGGCCCTGATGAATAACGATTTATCCGTTGGATGGCGTTGTCCGTCCTTCTAACAACTTTTTGTCCTCGATTTCATCTTACAGATGTGTGGCAATCCTGATGTTTCGTACAAGAAGTTGTATCCGACCTTTATTCGAACGTTTGCTGTTGACACTAAACTCACGCCAAGTCTACTGTCACTGCTCAATTACTTCAATTGGAAGAGAGTGGCGATTATCTACGAAAACGTAACGAAATGGATTGAAATGAAAGATAACTTGGCCACACGATTGAGAGCGAAAGGAATAACTGTGGCTCTGGAACTGCTTACGCATCATTCAGCGCTGTACAGGCCTAAAAACCATTCAGACAATTACAGAGAAATTATGAGAAAGGTCAAAGAAGAAGCTCGAAGTACGTAACAAGTCTCGTAGATTATTGCAATGAAGATTTCATTTTAGGTTCAAATGTTCCCGCCTTTCTCATCTCAAATAATCACCACTTTTACTACTTACAATTACATGTAAGCCAACTTTATAAGGTTGTATATTTAACACTGTAACAAAAATGCTAATATGAATATGAAAGCGATCTTCGCAGTAACGAACGCTACTTGAGCAGTAGTGAAAAATAAGGCCTGAAAAAAATTTCAGGCCTGTACGGGATTTGAAACCCATGACCTCTGCGACGCCGGTGTAGGGGGACAAGCAACACTCTTAGTCGCTTCATGCTGCAGAAACTAGGATAAACTCCAGGTAGATGAGCCCCTCGGCTTGAGGGCAGACTTAACCTTCCTACCACTGCCACTGCTACTGTCTCTGCCGTTACCGCTGTCCCCGTCATTATATATGCCATTAGTGCTCCTGCTACAGCTATTATCACCAACACCCCTTTCCCTACAACACGTTAGAAACACTTTCAATAACAGTCTTGATAACTTCGCTGCCATTGCCATTACCACGACGCCAGCGCTGATTTGACATTTCACACCACCATTTCGCAGCCATTTTTGCCCTCAATGAAAAAATTATCTTCTCACCATCTCTATGTATCTGTTACCTTTACTGAATGGAAGCGTTTATTTAAAGCGCTCGGGACAAACCTCGGTCCCTTCTTGAACAAAGGAAAAATGGTATAATGACCTTTGTATTAGTTACGTTTACGGATGGGAAACCTTTCTCTGAGGGATTCTTTTGGCACTCTTGAGGGTGTTCCCTGAAAGGAGGTTCCACTGCTTTGCCGTTAGTCTCAGAAATACTGTTGCTTCATTAGCCCGATCATCACTACCACTGCTTCCAGCAGTAATTTTTCCATTAAGAAATGTTTAGCCTAACCCAAATGCTTCTCTTCTAGTTGTGGTTTTTGTGTCCGATTTCCACATAGCCAGGGAAGGGATGCTTCACGCATATGATGAAGACATGATAAATGGCGATTACGCTTTTATAATGTTTGAACTGGATCAAGCTCAAATAGCAATGTACACCGGGAAGCCTTTCAAGTGGTTTTTCAGCAGCCACTGGGAAACTTTGAATAGATATGAACATTTGAAGAAAGCCTTTGAAGCTGTTTTTGTCCTGGCCATAAAAAGTCCTACTTCCGAAAGCTACACCAGCTTTGCAGAGGAGTTGAAGCGCCGTTCCCCTGACCCTCCGTTTAACAGCGAAGTATACAAAGGCTATCTGTGGGACAACAAGTCAAGCTTCCCTGCAAACAAATCTCGGGTAAGCGAATGATGTTGATGCTGTGCGTAACGGCTTTTGGTTTACAGCTTATTGCTTTATTAGCAGATGCAGCCGGCCCCTGATCATTGCGCTCAGGTTGTGTCGTATTTTGTGGGAGAAGAGTGACTCTTGTATACGTAGTCCTTCTCTTAATCTACCCAGGCACCAACATTGTGTTTAAGAAACTTGAGAAATTGCTGGTGGTATCTGCGATGCACTGGCCTTTGAACAGTAACTATCATACCAAAACATCGAAAATAATTTTATATTTGAGTGTGAGCGTCCCGTTTGTTTTCACCTAATAGTTACAGCTTGTTGGGGTATGGCCTCGGTATACAACAATCAACAAATTCTCTTAAGAGTTCTTATGCAACTTTGAACCATGAGTTTTTCTTTTGACCTAGAATTGCCATGACGATATTTTTTTTTGCTCTTCAGCCACCAATTTACGGAGCTTATCTTTACGATGCCGTGTACCAGTACGCGATTGCGCTCAACAAAACATTGGCAGAGAAGGAACCTTTGACAGGAAAGAACATCGCAAACAAGCTACATGATATCCAATACGACAGTAAGTTGCTTTCTTGAGTTTTATTTTTGCATCGTTATCATCTAAGTTGCTGGGAGATGCGGTGTTTAGTGCATTGCACTGTGGGTTGATTGAGTCCGGGATCGAGACTTGGCTGAGTTAATGTGTTGTGTTTTTGGGCAAAATACTCTACTCTCTTTACCAGGAGTATAGATGAGTAGCGAAGAATTGTCAGGGGCGTGTAATGAAATGCTGGGAGTGTCCTTACGATAGGCTCGGCAGGGGAACAGTAATACTCCTAGTCTCTTCATGTTAAGGAAACTGGAATAAGCTCCAGCTGGTTGGGCCACTGGGCTCGGGAACAGACTTTATAAGTTGGGGTTAACAAGCTAATTTGTGTGTTATTAGCAGATGGATATTTTATGATGTTTTGCCGTTTTTGTGGTGGCTTGTTTTATCTAAAAGATGATCGAGGCATTTTCGTAGATTCAGAGGAGACTTGCTTTACCCAATTTCTCGGCCAAAACAGGCTGTTAAATACACAGACAATCCTTCGTAACCTCCTCGAATAGAATTCGCTTCGGATGCGAACTGTAAGAAAAGAGTTGTAAACAACTACGCTGTAGGGATCTCTAAGTGGTAATGGGGCTCGCCTTACACCTATCGGGCCCGGATTCGAACCCTTAAACTGACGTCTTGTCTCGACTCACTGTGGGTTCAGCCTTGCTATTGATTCTCTTCCTTGCTTTAAGGGCCAGTTCCTCCTTTCCAAAACTGGACACTCCAAATTGCTGAATTCAGTGGGTATGGAGCCAATTCAGATATGTGTACCACTTCTAACTGGCATTTAGTATATACTTTATATTTTCTTTTTCAGGCATACTTGGATACAAGATTCATTTTGATGTAAATGGAGATGCCGAGTTCAATTTAACGTTACTGGATATGCAAGGTTGGTGATCTTCCTCCATCTTTATACCAACAACGTAAAGTATCATTTACCATTAGCGAACCTGGGTGTAAAGAAAAAAAATCACATCATTATGTCCGATTTGCCAAAACGTTTGCAGAAACGCTAGCAAAAAACGATACGTAGAGGCTCATCTTTTCTCGTTCAGGAGTCTTTAAAGTATCTTTTAGGGCAATAATTTCTTCGGCGATGTCATTATATATGTCCCGGCTCCCATGCTCTTTTAAGATATAGATTCTGCGAATTTTCAATGACGTTGGAAAGCTAGTCAGTCTACGACTCTCTTTTGGAAACACAGAATGGTTTTTTGTCTTGGAAGAGGAGACTTATTTTCGTCTTTCCTCTCTTCATTCCTCCTTAACGGTGGAACTATACTGCAAGGACTTTGAATGTTTCGTTGTTTCTTTTCCTCTTAGCTGTTACAGGTGAGGGAGATATGATTCCAGTTGGGGATTTCCAAATCAAGTTCGATAATACAACGAAAGGAGGAGAACAGGTTTTTATTAGACGGCCAAACGTTACCATAAAATGGCCTGGTGGACGAAAGGGGCCCCCAAGGGACTCCCCTGAGTGCGGCTTTCATGGAGAATTGTGTATTGAACCCGAGAAAGGAGGTATTTGTTTCCATACTTAAATATTTTTTTAGTTATAATGGGGATGACCACACCATCTACCTGTTTAAAGGTAAAATAACATTAGCACTCGAGACCAGTGGACCACACAAACTACTGCTGTCATAAAATGACTTTGAAATGTTTTTGATTGTTTGTAAGTTACTGTGCGAGTTTTCAAGAAATGTTGCGGTTCATTTTGGTCCATGCTGCGACATGAGGCTGAATTCGTTAAAGCCTTGCCCTAAAATTTTGTCACTTCTTTCATTAGATGCCAAGACGAAAATAATTGCCGGAGTGTCAGGAGCACTTGCCCTCCTATCGCTGCTCTTACTCCTTAACATCTACAGGTAACTTACTTTGCTTATTGACCCAAGATCTAATCAGCCCCTCCTCCGACCAGCTGCAGTACATTTCGTGCTAGTTTACCTACGTTCTTATCTCTTAACCCGTTTGATGGATAATTTTCTGACATGTGAGGAGCAGTTACATGCTTACCATCTAATGATATATTCATCTCATTAGACGTTTTAGGGTATAGTATCGCTGAGTATTACTGAGTGCAGACTCAAGAGCAGTGACGTGAAAAGACATACGGTTAAAGATCGTGGGACAGTTTTTTGTTTGTTTGTAATCTTTCTGAGGAGGGCAAGTTGACTCATCCAAACTTTTACCGTCTTGCAGGCAGTACAGGCTTGAGCGTGAACTAAAAAGTCTGCTCTGGAAGGTCGACTACAATGAAATCTGTTTTGAGAAGAAAAGGAATTCCATTTCGTCCTTTGGAAGCTGTGTGGTAGGCGTCAACGATATCATCCAATTACGTTTGTTTTCTATTTTAAAACTAGTAAAGTGCTTACGAATGTCAATGTTTATCTTGCTCCATCCATTTTTCAGGCCTCAAGCCAATTAGTCACTCATTCATCCCCTCAGTCCTTCGATCAGTCAGTCAGTCAGTCAGTCAGTCAGTGAGACAGTCAGACAGTCAGTCAGTCAGTCATTGGCTTAGACGAAGGGCATACGCTAGAAATGTGAGCTTAAAAACTCTGTACGGTGGCCAATTTACACGATCAACTCAGTTATTCAGTCTTCCAGTCTTTTAGTCTTTCAATCATTCAGTCTTTCAGTTTTTCAGTTTTTCAGTTTTTCAGTCTTTCAGTTTTCCAGTCTTGCAGTCTCGCACTCTTTCAGTCCTGCAGTCTTTCAGTCTTGCAGTATTTCAGTCTTTCAGTTTTCCAGCCTTTCAGTCTTTCAGTCTTTCAGTCTTGCAGTCTTGCAGTCTTGCAGTCTTGCAGTCTTGCAGTCTTTCAGTCTTTCAGTTTTCCAGTCTTTCAGTCTTTCAGTTTTCCAGTCTTTCAGTCTTCCAGTCCTTCAGTCTTTTAGTCTTTCAATCATTCAGTCTTTCAGTCATTCAATCTTAAGTCGCTTACCTCCTTCCATTTTACTTACACAGAAGGAAAACGATCCTGATATGTTTGAACCCCTCCTCGAAGATGACGATGAGGTTTTAAAGGTCACCGCTGTCGGAGTTTACAAGGTATTTTATTCTCACTTCTAACCTGTAAGTACATTCGTGTTGAGTTGGTAACAAATTATAAGACATCGACCGATCAAGTAACACAGGTGTACCACTATTCCTCTCTTTTTCTTTTAGGGAAACCTTGTTGCAGTCAAACGCTTGGCCAAGAAAAATATAGATCTCACGAGAACTGTGTTAATGGAACTAAAACAGGTACTTACCATAATACACAAATAATAAAGAGCATCCCATTGGAAAATCGGAGTTGGCAGCTGGAGTGCGACTCTCGACCTTAAACTAAGATCGTTCTTCATCCTACCCCCGTCTCTTTTGCCGGTCATCATCCTCAGGCCTTTTTTTAACCTCTTGACCCCCAAGATCTCAAAATCACGTGTCGTTTTTGGTTGTCAAACATTTCTTGTAATTGAAGTTTTAGTAATTGGGTGTTTAATCAAGGTATGTCACGAAGTTTATCTTCCTGTTTTTTTCTCATCACCTTTCCTATTAACAATTTATATTGATTTTGTGAGGATGAATTCTTCTTTTGTCACCACTTGGAGCAATATGGTCTACAGGGTATCAGGAATTACCCCCGTAATGATAATGATATCCATATCCACATCTTTTGCACGAGAGTGCAAGTGTAGCTCGCGGGAAGTGGAAGGTCGAAGAACTTTCCAGCAATAGCTATTAAACATACCACAAATTTGCGGAAGAAATCAAGCGAACGGGTCGAAAGGTGGAAGCGAACTTGTTTCACTGCATCTAGCAAACTCGGAAAGATGACTAGGCCAATTTGCTATGGCCCGAAAACCTCCAAATACAAGGTGATGACCTGTTTTCTGACAGTGAATTCGTCTGGTCGTGTTTCTTTTAGATGCGCGACCTGAGGCATGACAATCTAAATCCATTCATCGGCGCATGCGTGGATCCACCAAACATCTGCATCATTTCGCAGTACTGCTCCAAGGGGAGCCTTCAGGTAAGTCATCCTATAGTTACAACACTGAAGACTGGAGGAAAGAGAGATTGCATTGGTTTTACATTGGTATGTTCTTTCAAGTTGTGCAAATCTTGACGAACGAAACATTTACTAATAGAACCTCTTAGATACAAAGTTTAATTACATGCTGAAATTTTCAATTACAAACCTTCAATCCTCTATATTGAAGGACGTGAAGGACATTCAATAAAAGGAAAAGGAATCAGCACATGAGCTACATGCACATGAACGATTATTTTGTATTACTTACTCGCTATGCTATTTTTATTCTTCGCAACATAGGATATTTTGGAAAACGAGGATGTCAAGTTGGATCATATGTTCATAGCTTCACTTGTTTCTGACATAGTTAAGGTAAGGTCAAACATTGGATATTCATTTCACAAAATTCCTGATTGATTCCGGCTTAACGTGATTCTGGTAAATGTGCTGCAGAACCACATTTAACAGTTCAGCCGTTTATTGGAAACAAATCACCAGTTTCTCTTACAGTGCCCTTAGTTCATACAATATGAGTCCACGCTGTCTTTCAACCTCCTTTTTTCTTTTTCTTTCCAGGGAATGTGTTTTATCCAGAGCACAGATATCAAGTCACATGGTGATCTTAAATCACCCAACTGCTTGGTGGATAGCCGCTGGGTGTTAAAAATTGCAGATTACGGGCTCCCAACCTTTAAGGAAAAGCAAAGGAAAACGTACCCGTCGGAGTATGCGTACTACAGAGGTAGGTGTAAGATAATCACCTTTAGAGCCTTGGCATCTCGCACTTTTTGTTCTCTCTCTCCATGTACCGGTCTAATATTTCCGTGGTCGTCTTTAACCCTGATTGTTATCTCCCTAAGGTTAGAGGTTTGAGAAAATAACTGTCAAGTGACAGTTAAGACTCCTTTCGAAGTGCAATACTTTTCTGATTTTAGATCTTCTATGGGTTGCGCCGGAGATTTTACGCCTTCCAAATCGTCCTGCTAGAGGAACGCAGAAGGGCGATGTCTACAGCTTTGCAATCATTTTGCAAGAGTTCCATACAAGGGAAGGTCCCTACAGTTCCAGCTATATGGATCCCAAGGGTAGGAAAATGGTGTTCCAGTGTTTTCACTGCTGAATTTATTTTCTGTAAAGTCGTTGAATCTTCCTCAGGAACGTTTCTACTCTAGGGACATCTCCATTCAAGGAACATAGACTCTGAGCCCCTTTAAAAATATTTTCTACAGTCTTATGTATCTGTTAAATTTGTTGAGGATACACCTATATTTAAGGAAAATCTCCATTCGAGGAACACAAACTTTAGGCCCAACTGAAAAAGTTCTTACACTTTTTTTTTATCTTATCTTTGTTGAAGGAACACCTCAGTCTACTTAGGCGGTGGCCTGATCTACTTTAGAAGACGTATACTAACGGAGGGCTACTCTAATCTTGTGGTTGATTTTTTTTCCTACTGCTTCCAGATATTGTAAGCCGGGTACAGAACGGAGAATTTCCGCCTTTCCGCCCGACTGTATCAGAGCTGATCACCGGAGTGGAAGAAATCCGGGAACTGATGAAACAGTGTTGGGAAGAAAGTCCAGACTTACGACCAGACTTCCACGAAATCAAGAAGATTATGAACAAGATTTTAACCAACAACGGAATGTATGTAGACTTTTACCTACTTGCTCCCCTTGACCAATCAATCATTAACTTTCCACGAGAAAAAATTGTGATAACCTTGACTTTAGTAGATTACTTCTGAGTTGAAAATGGTGCATTTCAATTACTTCTTGTAAAACCAATACCATTAAGTGATGACTGCTAAATTAAAAAAAAAAAACGAAAAATTAAATCAAGAAGTAACTGCGAGTATCAAATATCGTTTGGAATTATATGATTACATTTACATTTACATGAAGCGTGGAAAAACTCACTTCCATGTGAAAACTTTGTTCCTTTTTACGCGTTAAATACGATATGAGTCACTTCAGCCTTTGGGATTGCTCTGATTTGTTAAGCACGAGTACTAGAGGTTGATGTGGTTTTGATGTTTTTCCCCCATAAAGGAAAACAAACATTTTTGACAACGTTGTTTATATGATGGAAAAGTACGCTGATAACTTGGAAGAACTGGTGATTGAACGAACTGGTCAGTTGATCGAAGAAAAGAAGAAGACTGACGCTCTGTTGGAAAGAATGTTGCCAAGGTATGGGCATAGACAAGTAGTGTTTTTCGTATCTTCAGGCTGTAAAATATCAATCCGTCATCATTAGTCGGTCCTTCAGCTCGGCATGCATACGGCCTGTCATGTACACAGCTTTACAAGGATACTGTCAGTTAGGCTTGAAGCTTGCCATTCATATCATCAGTTTGGCATATTGCTCGGCATGCAAACTGTCAGTTAGGCATTCAGTATGGCATGCCTACTATCAGTTGAGTATGTTGCTTGACATGCATACTATAGGGTAGGCATGCAGCTTTTAGTTAGGCATGTAAACCTGACTGCATACCATCGTATTAGGTATGCAGCTTAATATGCAAACTTTTTCTTGAAGCATGCAATTTGGCATGTATACCAGTCGTTAAGCATGCAACTTGACCTCAGATTCTGCATGCAAACCACACCATAGATACTATACTGTGCATACACATTTTTTAAAAATTTTTTTTTTCGTATTTTCTCTGCAGGCCTGTTGCAGAGCAGCTCAAGAGAGGCAAAGCGGTAGAGGCGGAAAGTTTCCACGAAGTCTCGATTTACTTTAGTGACATTGTTGGATTCACTGAGCTCTCTGCAGAAAGTACTCCTCTACAGGTTGACATTTAAGTGTTAGATAATTAATCATTGATTATCACTATGTTAATAGGAATTTTACGGTTTCAAGTTTCAATACATAGAGAAAAATTGCCCCCCGAGACAGAGATGTGTACAACTTTCTGTAGAGAGTACTCTCACCTCTATGGACGTTTTTTTACCAAATTTGAATTGATCATTGCTTTTATACAAATATAATCCCCTTTATTAATTATCTTTATTTTACTTTTTTTTTTCAACGCGGACACTGCAATACTAGCCTTTAAGTTTACACTACTGACAAATTAAATCAGTTACATACATACCTCTTTATTATTGTTCCACATTCTATTTCAGTGGTAAGTTAGAAAATAAGATCCTTTTTCTCGAGATCATATTCTTTACAAACTTTTCCCCTGGTATTCTTCTACAAAAGCACAGTTATTTTTTTTCTTCCTAAAGGTTGTTACTCTTTTGAATGACTTGTACACTCTATTTGATGACATCATAAGTGAATATGACGTTTACAAGGTGAGGTTTGCTAGTTATTATACCTATAAACCCGAACTGTCGTTCGTCTGATAGTCTTACGTCCTCGCCCCCTTGAATGGACCACCGCTCAAAACGTGAGCTTCTCAAAATTCATGAGCAAATTTATGACTTTCTGTAGAGACTATCTTCCTCAAAATCAAAGACGCGATATGTTAAAGGTTGTTACACCTTAACTGAAAAGGATGGCATTTTCATTCGTCGAAAGGACACTCTACTTAGTACACCAGCTTTTCAAAAGTCACGGGTAAACTTAACCAATATCATCAACTGAATTATTCACTGACCAAGGACGCAGCGAAAAAATTATTTAGAATGTAATAACTGTGCATCATCGCGTTTAGAATAATATACTTTAAGGAGGTTGGACGTAAAGTTTAAAGTTCGTGATTTAATTGTAAATTGAGCCATTCTTCTCAGCTGTACAATCTTACGATTCAATGCTTCAAATCGGGCAAGGTTCATCTTCCACCTTTATAAAACTAATCTTCTATCTTACTAATATACTCAAGCGCTAAAAAAGACCTAACTTCCAATCATCTCCAACATATCTAAACTTTATTTAACAGTGAAAAAGATCATGGAAAAGTAATATCGAAGCTTAAATGTCACACAGATAACAAATTATGTAACATTAATATTACTAACCTTTATGAAAAAACCTTTGATTTTTAATCTAAATAAGTTTTTACTTATTAAAAGCCTCTTTATACTTTTGAAGGAAGTTTATAACGCATCTGTGGGTCAAATTTTTTCTTGCGCAAAAAATTTTGTTAAGTTACGTAAAAGCTAACGTTGACTATTAAATTCTGCATAAAGGTACTTCATGCGCCTTCTTAAACTGATGATTAGCGACAAAATAACATTATTTGCAGAGGTAGCCTCATTGCCTTGACGTTTATTCCGTTGCTTTTTATTTATGACCCGAAAAATATTACTTTGTCTCCAGTTTTCCGAAATAAATGACAAAGATACAGTAACTGCTTTTCTTTGATCATGAATTTTAAAATGGAGATATTCTGTTAAGAGAATAATCCAACGACGTTTTCCTTCAACTTTTTTAAAACTGTTATTGATGTTTTGTAAATATGCAAGTGGCTCAAAAAGAAATTAAATTTCGCACGTCTCTATTCTTTCCTGCCGAATGTTAAAATAAAACAGTAATAACCGTAAATTTTCACAATAAACATTAAACGTGGAAGGTCCGTTCAACCTCCAATTTTAGTGCCGTTGTTTGCTTGTACTCTAGTGCGCTCCTTCTGCCCGGCAGGTGGAGACAATTGGTGACGCTTACATGGTTGTGTCAGGGCTACCCATCAGAAATGGCCATCAACACGCTGGTGAGATTGCGCGCATGGCGTTGCACTTGATTGAGGCTGTGAAGAAAGACTTTACAGTTCGTCACAAGAGTGATTACAAACTTAAACTACGTGTTGGAATTCACAGTGGTAAGTGCAAGCGATGTTTAGAGGTGTTCTTGATAACAAATGATCATCAATGATCTGCCTTTTCATTGGCCGAAAGCCTCCAAAGTGAGCTGCAAACAATTCGGGCTACAAAATATATGAATCTCATATATTATTGAACTTCACAGAAATGATATTGCGATAGTCACGCTTAATCGTGTTCACGCTCATCAATGGTAAGGGCAGATCACTTTCCTCTACGCATATACAATACCTTTTGTGCACGCGAAAGTTTTCTACGTTCTTCTGTGGAACTGGCACATTTTCCCCTTCCCTCTCCCCTCCCCCTTCCGTAAGCGCTGGATATATGGCTATGTACCCTCATACAGGGAAAGGCTTTGGTGTGGTCTTGAACGAGTAAAAAGTTATTTACATATGAAGTATTTCGACCTTTTCTTTTCTCTGAACTAAAAAAATTATATAAGCTGTAAATGTTTGCTTAAGGTGCTCAATATGGGTGGTACTTATTCAAAATATTCTGTCTAAATATTGGCTACGTCGCTATACCACAATCTATATTTTGAACGGGCTAGCGATGTAAAATTAATTTGTCTTGTACGGGAGTAGGGTTTTAATGACTTACGGCACAGCCCCACCAAAACTCTCCGTATGATGTTTAACCCTTTCTCCCATGGAAGACAAAATTTCTCTTCACAATACCCTTACAATATCAAGTGCACAAGTGATGAGAATAAAGAAAATATCATTTGGGGGATTATTAGTTGATTAAATACCAAATTCACCGAACTTACATCATAAGAATTGTATGGCAGACAGTAGAGAGAAATACTGATGAGATCGTGGGAGCGAAAGAGTTAACAACTTAAACATCGTTATACAATTTAACACCAGATCTGATGACCGTTTTACTTACTTATTTGCTCACTGATGCCTTTTTCTTAAGGTCCTGTGGTGGCAGGTGTTGTTGGAATAACTATGCCACGTTACTGTTTATTTGGTGACACAGTCAACACTGCATCTCGGATGGAATCAAATGGAGAAGGTAATTAGCACTTGGAAACGTTTTTTTATTTCGTCACAAAAGACGCTATTTATGCTTTTAGCTCGTTTACTTTAACTCATAGAGCGCATTGCCAAAGCCTAGTTCTGTTTGGTGGGAATAAGTTATGAAAATAAGATCTTTCTTGCTTCTGAGAGTTTTTTTTATCTTTGGGTATCATTTTTAGTGTGTAAAACGTTTGGTTCTTTTGTTGATATAGTTTGTTTGTTATGTATAGCTCTAAGAATTCATATCAGCGAGGTGACAAAGAGAATACTTGAAGCTTTGGGAGGCTTCATAGTCGAAACTCGGGGCGAGGTGTTCCTGAAGGTGAGAATAGTAAAATAAATTTAGAAACATTTTCGATAACCCAATGGTTTGTTTCTCAACTTGATATCCTTTGAAAAAACCGCCAACCATTCAACAACATATGTACTTTGTTTTCGAAATTTAGGAAAGCAGGGTTTGCGAAATGGCGGGCCTGATTTCTAGTCTTTCTTTCCATGTAAATGGATTTCTTTACTATCTTTCTAAAACCGACATTCATCCGGCCGAAGGATCACGTATTATTACCCAACTTGATGTTTGTCTGTCTTTCGTAACCAAAGTTTGCTTCTAAAGCGCTTTATGTATTTTATTAGGGAAAGGGAAATATGACAACTTATTGGCTTATGGATGCAGCACAGAAACCAGTCCATAAGCCTCGGCGCCCCATACCAAATGGCTTCCTTACGGACTCCCCCCTCCTTTCTTTACCCGGATTTAAAAGTACTTTGGCGGGGTCATGCTCATCAGTATCCCTGGGAATAAGACGTTCCCCGTCGCTGCGCCGTAGTCAGTTCCGTGGCTCCCAGGGGTCTCCAATTATGAAGAGATGGCAGAAGATTGAGGATGGTCCCAAGAATTCCCCAAGAAACAGCTTGATTAAGACAAATGCCAATGCCACTCAGCAGACTATTGTATGAAAGCGAAAACACTCATTTTAACTCTGCTGGGAGAATTAACTTCCGTGTCGAGTGTGAACATACAAGTCCAATTTCAGAAGAAACGTTAAGAGAGAAGGAAGTGGATAGAACTATGCGATATCGTCGTAATTACTTTCTTTCTGAGGTCCATCTTAAGATTATTTGCTGTCACGAACGGGAAGTAAAAGTCATGTATTTGTGTCACAGCATAGGCACGTCATTTGAATACTCGTCCCTCGGACATTTTGCGTCCGTTAACTAATTGTGTGTGGCTATAATGTACCGATCAATTCGAAGCTTCAACATCCCCTCGGGCAACCTCCCCCCTCCCGGCATTTGACCTTGAGAAGATTGATTTGTTAAAACCCCGCCCACGGGGCAAAGACTGTTCTCAAATGCCCCAACAAATATTTTTGTTAAAGGAAAAATTAGCAACTGTGACTTTCTACACATTGACTAAGCTTTGAAACCTAGACCTCGTAGAACTTTCTTTCTGAGCCATTGGCTCGCTAAAGTAAACTATTTATTTTTTAGACACCTCTATATTTAACAATATAACACTAGTGTTTCTCTGTAAAGACTTGTCGAATGTCTGTAGGTTACCCGGGGGAGGGGGATGTTGAAGCTTCGAACTGAACGGTGCATAATACGTTTGAGCGTAAGGTAACGATGAGCAAAAGGAAAATAAGATACAATTAGCATAGTTTCTTTCTTAAAAGGGTTGTGCATTAGGCGACAAGAGCACCGTCAAACTTTCAAGAATTTGCTTAAAAAATCATTTTTACGGCAAATTCATTTTGTGTGAATGGGTACCATCATTTTTGTGATATTTCACATTCTGCTCTCTCTCTGTTTAAAACAGAGAAGACACATGTGTAACATAACTTTGTGTGAACGCCGTTTGTTTTCCAGGTGAAATTATCAGTCTGTCAAGCTGGTCAAAAAAATTGCTTTCATTTCAATTTCTTCCAAGTTCATTCATCTCTGTCTGTCAGAGAGAAAAACACCTGATTAAAAACTGTTCCAAAACAATGCTCTTATTTTCTAGAGTCTCGACTTCTTGATTCCACTTGCCATTATGATAATTGCTTCAAAACAAAAACCTTTTTACTTACAAGGTTTGCAGTGCTTTTTTTCCCTTGTAAAAATTTGTCGAATTTCAAGTGTATGTTTTCTCATAATGAAAATTTATTATTTCTATAACATTTCCACTTACTAAAGAATTCTGTAGGTTTATTTGTTGGTGCATCTTCGCTTTGGCAATTGCATGATGGCACTTTTAATTGGAATGAACACCGTCACTTTATTTGGAAACATTTACATTTAGTGGAGATTGAAATTTTCAATTCAAATTGTAATCGCTAGGACCAGATCCAATATTTGAAAGAACAGTGTATACATCTGAAAACATTAAATACATTGGTTTTAAGGCAACATTTTTCAGTACCAAAGAAAATTGTTTTGTCGAAACCCAGAGAGGAATGAAAATCTTCATGAAGCCAGGAGAGCGGGTGTGTATATCGTACAGAGTGAAAAGTAATTTATAAGTTCTAAATTGCCCCAAATATATTTCAGCATGAATAGATTGTATATATTATATGTGTAATATAGTGCGTTTCGACGAGCTCGAGCAATCGGTTTCTGTAGAATGTAAAGTTGTCTATGTAGTTGTTTCTGTCCATTTGAGGAAAATACGATATAATTAAAATTTTTGAATAACCAAGTATGTCTCTAAAAACTTTGGTCCAACGTGTTTATGTCCATACACTCGTTTTTTGTAAGAACGTCTAACTTTGGGGCTGAGTTAACTGTCCACCTACCCCTCCCCTAACCCAACATTAACCCTAACTTGTTATCTATTGACTGTTGTTGAGTTAGGGGAGGGGTAAGTGGGCAGTTGCCCAGATATTGATATTGATCCAAAGTTCCTTACGTTAAAACGTACATGAGAAATCAACGGTAAAAGTTAAAGAATGATTTTATATAATAAGTTCAGTTATGCACGCATTCTGATTGGTTCTCACTTATAATCTATTGGAGGACAGACGTATAGATGACGTCATCATTAAAACTTTTTCTTCCGTACATTTTAATTCTTTATTATATAAAACTAATAGATTCCAAGTTGCCGTGCGTCTGTTCAATAATAGATCACAGAGGACGTCAAAATGTGGTAAGAACATCAGTGACACACTCGGCTGCACCTCGTGTGCCACTTTTTTGTTCTTACCACATTTTGACGTCAGCTGTGATCTATCACTGAACAGACGCACGGCAACTTGGAATCTATTTGTTAAATAGACCAAGCAAGATCTAGTGATAGTCTCGAAGAATATGCACTATGGCGAGCGAAAAGAAAGCAAACGAAAAAAAATGTTGGAATTATTAATGTCAACACGCAAAAAGCTGTCTCTAAGAGAGTAGGAAAATGCTCACCTGTGGTCCTTACTCCAAAGACTGTTTGATAGTGTTGCGAAATGTTTCATTCCAGGAGGCTGGCTACTTGTAGCAAACTCTGTTTCGAACTTTACTTCACCCTCACGTTGGACCGCTGAGTCATCATACCGCGGAGTCAGAAACTTTACCAACAACAAAATGGGTATCACAGTGAGCGCACTGAAAGAACTCAGGTCACGCTTGTCTTTCACTCAGCTGAGATTCCACTGCAGTAAGAAACAAGGTCGTACGTTCCGCGTGACCACAGTCAGTAACAGCACCGGTGAAGGTGTGGTCTAGTACTTCAGCGGCCAGACGGATGTGCACTCCGATTCACTCTCTCACCAGGAGACTTTTGGAAAATCTATGTGCGCTAAATAATTAGCCAATAAAAATATTAGAGCAGTTTTCAATTAAGTGTGGACGTAATGTGGAATTGCATGTTTTTTCATTTTGAAATGTGTGAAAAAAGGTTGCACCATATTTTCAATCATCACTCAGACCTGAAATATTTATCTTGGTCACTTGTGATTTACCGCCTCGAGGTTATTGTTATGTATTTTTTATGAGTTCTTATTGGCTCCTCGGGATATTTATCTTGGTTCTGATTGGCCGTTTTGATAAACTTGGTTTTGGTTCGTGACACTCGATTCAGAATCTTTCATTCCAAAAACAGCTTTCTTTCACTTATTGACCCAGTAGGTCGTTTTTATGAATATCCTTAACCTCAAAGGATAAGCAAGCAAGACCAACCGTTCTCTCTCATAACCGAAAAAAGTTAAACAAAGAGACTTCGAAATTTGCAAGAAACAAAGTCAAACTACTAAAAAGGATGAAAGGTGGTGATGGGAAAAGGATGACTTATTTTAGTCGAGTTCCATCAATCAAGCAAGCTTCCTCCCCTTTATTATGAACACGTGACCCGATCAATGACGACAACGATTCGTTTTTTGGAAGCTCTTTTAGCTTCAGTAACGGTGTAAGCAATCACGCGCCATTTCGATTTGAAGTGTTATGTGCGACCGCCGAACACGTACTCTAATTTGAGAATTAAAAACAATTTTGAGTTGACAAATAAGTTGAAAAAATTCCATCTGTTTAAAATAGAGAAAGGACAAGCCATTATCAAATGTACAAAAAAACCAAGGAACAAAAATCCGTGTGAAGAAGTAGGTGGTTATTCCTTAATCAACTTAACTTTTTTGAAGTTTTTGTCAAAAAATTTACGATACAATTTCCAGTTTCCACTCCTATCGTTATTTACACCCATAAAAAAAAAATATTTTATATCGACGACATTCCTACTTTATTATTATACTAGAATATTAGTCTGGATATAGAGTGTACATTGTAATTACCATATAATGTGTCGACAAGATCATGTGATATTTTTCTTTTGTGTAAAGTTGTTTACTTTCTCATAGGGTAACACCCAGTATTTCTCAATTGAGAATATGGGTAGTACTCAAGTGAAATGATCATCTGAGCCGTCTGATGCGGTACCGCTGCACAAAGTTTCGCCATTTGCTTTGATCGTCATTTTAAAGTTTACCCCGTTGTTTAATTTCGTGAGTTATGAAGAAGTTCAAACCTGTTTCTGTGAAAGCGATTGTCCGCGGAAGAACTGGGAAGACCGTTATTCATACTCCGTTAACGGTCAGCTCAAACACAGCTGGTTCTCAGCCGAACCAAGGACGTTCTTCTCTCCTTGAAGCTGTCGATGACCCCGACATTAATAATAATAATAATAATAAAAGATTTATACCGCGCCAGTATCCTACTGTTCAAAGGCGCCTACAAGAAAAAAACTTAAACATTAACACTTAAGACAGCTAATATTAATTATAAAAGGCTTTTCTAAAGAGTAAAGTTTTTAATCTACGTTTAAAAACAGACACAGACTGAGCATTTCTAATTTCACTTGGCAAAGCATTCCATAATGATGGTGCTGCTACAGAAAAGGATCTTGCGCCATATGTTTTCAAGTTATAGGATGGAGAAACCAGAAGGTGCTTGAATGATGAGCGTAGTTGACGCGATGGGGTGTAAGATGTAAGCAGATCACAAATGTACGACGGTGACATTCCCGTATTTTCACCTGATGAGGCTCAACATTCTGAAGCTCATCGAAGAAACTACAGCTCCGTAGCTAACTGGGAAAAAATACGGAATAAACTGTTCACAACAGCAGTGGGGGAAGAAACTCTCCCGGAGAAATATGTTTTTGCCGTATTTAAATAACGAGAGGCGACTGTGCGATGTCGGTTCTGCGGCCCGAGGCAATTTTTTTGTTTAACCTGTGCTTATGATCTGCACGCGGAAAGGAATCAATTCCACGTTCTGGAGCAATAGAAGGTATTTATCAACCACTGCTTGCATATATTACAATTGTATGTATGATTAATATATGGAAATACAGCAGTCAAACCTCAATAAGTTGATGGATTAATGCACTGTTTTGTAATCTCTATTAGCAAAGTTTTGCATTGATGACACGTACGCAGTATTACATGTAGTTAGAAAACAAGGACAAATCTATAAACTGACTGTCCTGTTTCAATTTCTTTAAAGGATAACAGATTCATTCCATTGTTACCTAATCATGGTGCAATTGAATCCGGCCATTCTTGTTCTACAAGAATCCTCAAATGGTTTAAACTAATAGATGCCTTCGGTAAGTTGGACACAAAGTCAAAGCTTGCACAATGTTGACTTTCGAAAGCAAAGGTAAACAAGGTTTTAAAACGTTTGCAATTGTCAGAGGTTTTGAAGACAAATGTTTTTGCCCAGTGTTGGTGCTGCACTATCTTCGATGATTTACGATTTTATCTTCATTGTGTTTGTGTGTGTACATCCTTTGCTTCTTGTTTCTACACATAGGTAACTAGCACCTGAAGGAAGTCGCCGTCCGTGACTGTGAAAGCCATGCGGTTACTTTGGTACGTTGTCAGTTCTGGCCAAGTTCACCTGAGAGACCGTCCGTGGGCTTCCATTTTAAATTAATGGACCTTGCTGAAAAGTTATTTCTGCACAGTCAGGTGTTTGTAAAGGAGTTTTCAGAATTGATTTTGGAAATGACACCACCTTTGCAGCCTAATTTTGTGAGTAGTTTTATTATTACAGTGGTGTTCTTTATAAGACCAGTGTTTTTTAATATACTGATAGATTTTCTAGTATAAATAAATTCTTTATTTTAAATATAATATTGAGAATTGCTCATTTACATTCTGGAGAAGGAGGCAGTGGTTCAGGGCATCCAAATGTTTGGAGTGCTGGCTTTCAAATCTTAGCAAGTGTTGAATTTATATGCTATCTATCCTAATATTCTAATTTCCAGTTAAACTGTACATTGTAGAAATCTTCTGGACTGTTAGTTTTCCCATTTAAGCTAAAACCCTGCAGATGCTGAGGCCATCAAGTCACGTTGATGATCTTCCCGTCTGTTAACAATATTGTCTATATCCCTGCTTGAAACAGTATTTGAACCCATGACCATACCTACAGCTGTATTTAATGCTAAATCCTACATAAGAATATAACATTAAGCCACAATTGACTGCACATATACAAGTAATAAGTATGGATAAATGAGGAGTGAAATGAAAAATAATGACAATATCAGTGTTGTACGAAAATGACTGAGTACATGTGAATAAAATATATTTTCCTTCTAATACAAGTACCTGTTTTAAAGAATTCAGCACAAAATAAATTGTAAGAATTTGGTCCTTTGACACCTTTGATTCTTTTTAATGTGACATCTGCAGAAGAAGATGATTCTTGTGGCCTTGTTCTTTTCTGATTCCCAATCCACGTCTGCAAAAATCATTTAGTGTAATTGTTATATTACTCATTATGTTAAAATTAGTATTAATTCACCACTGATGACAACTGAATAAACATACGAAAGCTATTTAATATTAATTTTGATCAAAGACCATAAAAGTGTTATCATGAGGAAAAAGGAGAGGAGGGAAGAAGAAAGAGGAGGTTTGTATCAGAACTATTGAGAAATACTGCAATAATGCCTGACCATAAGATACAGTATTCGTACATGCTTGAAAATAGTATTTAATATCCTTTAGACAACAGATCTACAACGGACATCCTCTACTTCATCCTAACCTGGGATTAACTGAACCTTGCTTTGACAAAATGAGCTTGTGGGGTTGAATAATAAAAATAATAATAATACAACTATCTTAAATTTGTACAGTTGAAGTCCTCATCTTTGCATATGATCTTACGTTTATAATGTTTTCATATAAAAACCTTACATTTCGGAATTCAATGGATTACCTTTAAAGGTAAATACGCACGTGTAATGAACGTGAATGATCTTGAGTCTGAGTAAAGCAGAGTTAACTGTCTGTAACTGTACCTGATCACGATCTAAAACAACATCCAATAAACTTTAACCGTTAGGCTATTATTGACGTATAAATGCATCTACGATCTATACGAATTGCTAGTTTTGTTTGATTCGTGGAATTATTGAGATAAAATGAGGCACAACCTGGTAAAAAGCTACAACTGAGTTGAACAAAATGATTAAGCTTACCTCGACTTGTGCCTTCGTCAAACCAGTGTCTGTTGACGCCTTTAAAACCGTCTCCTTGTACATGGTTCCCGTTTCAACCATCCTTCCTTCGAAAAACCGCTCTGAAATACCTCTCTGTTCATCTGAGATACGAGTACGTTTCGCCATTGTATTTCCTTACGAAGAACAACCACTATCGCTGAAAGCTTACCAGACGGCACGTTGTGGAATTTGTCACTCGCGGGCGAACGCGTATTATTCCATAAACCGATTTCATTGGCTGTTCTAGACAATGCTTCAAATCAGCGGCATCAGACGGCTCAGACGACTCAGACGATCATTTCACTTGGGTACTACCCACATTCTTAATTGAGAAATACAGCGGGGTGTTACCCTATGAGAAAATATGGCACGGGTGACTCACTTTATTCTAAAAGACATTGTATAATTCTACCAGTTATTCTACTCCTTAAACCTGACAAGAGAAATCTAATGAAGTATCTTGAGGCGAAGGTAGCTTGATTAACTTTTCATAGTCTTTTTTTTTCTTTTCTCGTTGTTCTTGTACCTGAAACGAAAGGGTCGTTCCGTGCTGGTAATCGTTACGCGAAAAATGTCAATCAAAGAGAGTCACTTAACCACCTAACCGTGAAAGTTAACGAAAAACGAGACGAAGGATCATCTGTTTGCAGAGTACATGTGTTGATGTTTCCCGTCAGGGAAGCGGCAAAACAAAGGGAGGCCAGTGTCATGCGAGATACAAAGGAAGATGGTGTCAAACACGAAAACGTAAATAATTAACATCCATGAATAATTCCCTTTCAACGCAGGTTGTTATCATTGCAAACGGGTATTTTTGCCTACTGGCCTTCCTATCATCCCGAAATAATTTCAAGCACAATAGTTTAAGTTAAGGATTGATCAAAGTCGCCCCACAACCTCCAAGCTATGATTGTGTCATTGTGAGAGCACACTTTGGAGCCCGGTTAAATTTGGAAAAAAGTTTAGAATTTTTTTTTGTAATTATCTACTTGAGCAGTTTACATTCAATCTATCGTTTTGCCCTTGTACACCCTATTCTTTTCAATTTGATGCGTGGATTGGAAAGCTATTATGGAATTTGCGCACTTAATTTTTATTAAATGGTGACTCAATTCGTTTAGGGTAATTGTGTCGAAATTTTTTTCATGAACGAGCCGCACGAAGAAGGGCAGGTCAATGACAACCCAGATACAAAGGAATTACTGTAGAAACTACACGGTCTGTCATCCTAGAAAAACGCACGTTTGCACCTCGCTAAAAAATATGGTTCTTTTTTGTGACTGGATCGATATTGCGTTAATCTACTGGCCTCCATATTATCCCTGCATATTTTCATGGATAATAGTAAAGGCTGGGGAATAAACGAGACCGCAAACCTGCTCCACTATAATGATGTCATTTTGTAGGAAAAGTTCCAAGATGCGTTTATTTTAAAAGATTTAAAGTTTTGCCTGTAAAAATGTGTTTTTATCCTTTCGGTGTATCGAAAATAATAAAAATGCCAGGCGTTTCCTCGAGCAATTTGATATCCCATTTAACTTTACTAAATCACCTCGTATACCATTTATACATTTTGATTATTATGGCATGGTGCAAGAAAAATTGTCATGAAATGGTTCTTTCAGATCATTAAGTGAAAGTTGCATTGCACTTTGATCTTTTTGGAAGCTAAGAAAGGTTCGAGCTCTCAGCATCCTGCTCTCTCATGCAAGGTGATTCGGGACACGCGTAACTCTTATTTCTCTGAATATTTCCATGCATACAGACTAAGTCGTTCTGGATGTTTTCTTGTTGTCTCATTTCGTGTTTTTAAGTATTAGGTATCGTTTTATGGTGAGCGAAATAAAGAATTTATGGCGTGCCTGCCTAATGACCATCTTGTCGCGGAAGCTATTGAATTACGCAAGGGAAAGATGAACTCAAATCATTTGCATTAACTATCTCAACTACAGTCAATAGATCGGCTGTAAATAATGCATGAACTAAACTTCCCCTCTGGCGACTTTGTTAAGTTCATTGTGAGATCCTACCGGCGGAGATGAAAACCCACGGTTGGTATTACAAGCAACTCCAAAAAGATTATGTCAAACGATCGCACTTGAAAATTTTCGGAAATACATTACAATACATTTGGGATGAATATTTCATCATTGCATAAAGTTGTATGGAGCATTAAGTCACCGGTAGAGCGATTATGTTATTAATAATAAACAAGTTTTCTTTCGCATACAACGAGCGACCACAACCCATGTTGTTCACCGTGACAATTGCCGAATACTCGCAAACGATTCACATAACAGAAACACCATGCACGCTTCGTGCCTGACACAGTTTGTCTTCGTGACTCTTAATGCGTTCTTGACCGTTTGGTTCGTTGCAGTGAATAGAGATATTTTGGAAACTAAACTAAAGTTGATAAATCAGCTGTTAATAATAAATGAACTAAACTTTCCCCCTGCGTCAATCTTGTTATATCCACTGTGAGGATTTGGGAAACAAAACAAACTTATCACGAAAGATAATTTGTGCCTTTGTATTATCGAGTTTTTGAGGCATTAAGCACGAGGAGATCGCTGGTGTAGAATGGAAACACCTGTGGATCTAGGAAAACAAAAATCAACTCGTCAACATACCAAAGGACGAAAATACCAAAAAAATTAAAATAAAAAATGATTGTATGAATTAGAAAAAATTAAAATGCTTCGAGTTGCCTTCTATGGCTTTTATAGTTATTATTTTTGTCTGACAGATTATTTCATATTATCCTTGTGGTATATGATGAAAACAGCGGTTCAAACTAGTACTAAAAGATTCTGTCTTATTTTGCCCACGGCGGAGAAGTGGTGACTACTGAATCATTTATGATCCAAAATTTGCGTTCCTGTTTAGTAAAATTACTACATGCTGCAAATGAAAGAAATACCCCGGGTGATTTATTTGCCGTTAAGTGTTTTGACCAACTATTATCAACAAATAGCTCGACTTGGTATTCAATGTTATTCTAAGGTAGACTAACATTTTGGCAGCAGCTGCGTAGAGCAAACGACCAGAGGCTCGTTGAATACCAAAAAAATACTATGCCTCCTCGGAGGTTGAAGCAATTGGTCTTTGTATCTTTTCACATTTTTCTGGTAGTGTTGTTCGTTGTGGCGAACAATGACTTTTGTGCAAGCGTTTTTGAAACTCATGTTGGTAAGTAATAACTCGATCAGAACCTGCAGCTTCATTTTTTTTATAAGTGATGTTTCTACATCGCCAGTTTCCTATTGCAAATTTTTTCAGATTTCACTTTACTTGATCACGTCATCAACAAAACTGATGTTGCCGACGAGCTTGAATGTCAGCTAAAATGTATGGGAAACAAAAGTTGCAAGTCGTTTAATGTTCACCGCTATGGCAATAATGCGAAGAAGCTTTTCGAGCTCAACAACAAAACCCGGCAGATGAAGCCAGGTGATTTTAAACGGAAGAAAGGATCTACATACTATGGTTCAGTTCAGGTCAGTTCAATATATGTTTCTGGTGTGCACATATTCCTTTTTATATTCGAGAGCGGCACAAGGCGAAGATAAAGAAACAAAAAATCTCTTTGGTAATCCGTTTTTATGCTAGAAATTTGGAGCACCGTTACCCTTTTTTAAACAACCTTCATTATCATCATAAACTCATCCTCATTTTCATAATTATCATTTTTTTATTGTGCAAAGAAGAACAGCTAACTGAGAAAATTCAACTGCAAAGCTCTTATTAAACAATTTTAGAGCGTGTGTGTAATTATACATGGTCTCGTTATATTTGCTTTTGCTCACTGTCATCCCTATCCTACTCTTTAAACCTGGAAATAGAAATCTACAGAAGTATCCCAAGGCCAATGGAGATTGATTAACGATTCATTGGCCTCCCTTTGCTTTTCTTACATTTGAAATGAAGAAAACGAAAAGTCGTCTTATGCTGTTAACCACTACTCGAAGTTAAAAATATAAATCAAAGGAACTCAAACAATCACCTCAAAAAAAAAAGCCCTATTGAATACCTATCCTAAAAACCGACGAAAAACAACACGAAGGAACATCTGTATGTAATATGTTTTGATAAAACCAACGCAGGGCACTTGTGTGGATGTTTCTCGTCAGCGAAGCGGCAAAACGAAGGGCAGCCAGTGTCATCCGAACTACAAAGGAAAATTGTGCCAAACACGTAAGTAATAAATATCCTTTAACCTAAGAGTGACTATTTGATTGGTTCCTACCTATGCTCCATTGGAGGACAGACGCATAACTGGCGTCATCATTCACAAGTTTGGCTTCTTTATTATATTAAACAAATTGATTCCATGTTGCCGTGCGTTCAGTTGTTAGTTACATTCTCCCCTAAGAATCAGTCATTAGGATTAAGGAATTAAAGGAAATGATCACCTACGAGACAAGCCGTTGATCGTTAAACAAAGACTCCCTGTCATTACCGCAGGCAATGTGTAACGAAAAGCGTAGAGAATATGAGTATTGATGTAAAGGGTTAAAGCGCACTTGTAGATTTTGTTGATGATAATAAGAACTGCGATTTAGGAACTGAATTTGATCTCTTTCTTTGAAAATTATCAAGTGAGACTTGGCCAGTCTGCTGCAAATCCTGGAAAATCTTGCAAGCATATTCTTGAATCAAAAGACTCTGAAGGAGATGGGGAATACTGGATCGACCCTGAGGGCAAAGGAAATCCTTTGAAGGTCTACTGTGATATGAAAACTGACGGAGGTAGGTGAATGGTGCCAAGAGATGATACCGCATAAAAATATGCATCGCAATCTGTCATGTCCTAATTATCTACTTATCAAAAAAACAAAAAAAAAAACATTTTGGTGAGCAAAGAACGATCTGCTCGCTCTTGTAAGGAGATCCGAGACTTTGGGGACTCCATAGGAGACGTGGAGTACTGGATCGACCCAGAGAACAAAAGGAATCCTTTTAGGGTCTACTGTGACATGAAAACTGATGGAAGTGAGCCGAGCGTGAATGACTTACCAACGAAAGGAGTTTAGTGCGTCTGTTGCGTACACGTCACAATGGAGATTAAGAATTTTGAAGTAATTAAGGTGCCATGCAAAACTTAAAACATACAAGAAAAAAATCAACGATAAAACTTAAACAAATGATTTTAGACGAAGTAAGATCTAGTGAAAATCTTAAAGAATATGCATTATGGCAAGCGAAAAGAAAGCCAAAGAAATAAAATGTTGGAATTATTAATATCAACACACAAAAAACTCTAAGAGAGTACGAAAATGCTTACTTGTGGTCCTTACTCTAAAGGCTGTTTGATAGTGTTGCGTAATGTTTCATTTCAGGAGGCTGGTTACTTGTAGCAAACTTTGTTTTGAACTCTACTTCACCCCCTGACTGGACCGCTGAGTCATCATACCGCGTAATCAGAAACTTTGCCAACAACAAAATGGGTATCTCAGTGAGTGCACTGAAAGAACTCAGGTCACACTTGTCTTTCACTCAGCTACGATTCCACTGCAGTAAGAAACAAGGTCGTACGTTCCACGTGACCACGGTCAGTAACAGCACCGGTGAAGCTGTGGTTGAGTACTTCAGCGGCCAGAAGGATATGCGTCCCGATTCATGTGGGTCTTTTCAGAGAATGGAAGACGACAACTCTAAGTTGGTCATTGAGTGTGAGAGTTGGAGTAATGACGGAAAATGGGGATTTAATGGAGGCGATGTGGAACGGAGGCTGTACACAGGGTTCGCACGCGTTCCACGCAGCTATCCTTGGAATATACTAGATGGATCCTGGTATTGCGATGATTGGGATCATGACCCCGTTTCGCCAGGAGATTTTTGGAAAATCTATGTGCGCTAAATAATTAGTTCAACCAAATATCAAAACAATGTTTGGTTAAGTTTTGACCCAGGGTGGAACTACAATTTCTCACTCTGTAAAAAGACAAACAAATTGCTTTCAGTCATTCGTTTGTTGACGCACGTCATAAGATGAAAACCTCGGTTGTAAGATTTTCAGGTTTGCACGATAACCTCAACACTAGCTTGTTCTCATAATGATCGGTGTTTTATCGCTATACATTTTCTTTTTAATTAAGTAGTGTTATAAAGTAGTTTGTCATATCTTGTATATGCGTTGGCATTTTGCATGATGACAAGGACAATTAAGGATTTTCTAGTGAGAGTAGTGAATATTATTTTATAACAGTATCCGAACTTTGTAGTGGCGCAATTTGTAAGCTATATTTGTCTGTAACGAGGGTTGATTATCTAGGGTGTAAAATATGATTTACAACTTCAATATTCTCACAAATAGAAGTATATTGGTTGAAATAAACTGATTTCATTGTTAGTGTAATATGGTCAAAAAAAGCTTTTTGCAATCAAAACTAGATTACAATAACTTTGTGGCGACTATTTCATAATAGCACTGAGTTATTTGGAATATTAAATCACCACCAGATCGATGATTTGACATGGAAAAGCGAGCTCGAGATGGCTGAGCGAAGTCGTGTAGCTTTTAATTATCAGCCGTTTAGGGATCCTTATGTGGTCTATTCAGTCTCATATCAAACTCAATGTTAACAAAAGCCTATATCAAGTCTCGGCGACTATGTCCCCACCACTGTCTGACTCAAGAACACACAAAATTGGAACCGTTGGCTCGATTACTAAGAGAAGTTTTGAGAGTGACTAATTTTACCAAAAAAATTTAAAAGACGAATATTGAAGCTACTTTATAAGTTATTTTGAAATACCGAAGCTTTAGGATTTAAAGGGTCAAAATTCATTTTTTAAAATTACGATTAGACAATTTCCAAAGGCGTTCAAAGTGTCGTATCACTGTTAGCGCGTAAGAATGGGTCCTAGCTCTTTCGCACACATTCCAATCTCAATTGTATCGCCATATACGAATGGAGCGAGAAATTTCCTTTATTTTGGTAAATAATTCGTCTAGTTTCTGACTGATTTAGATGGCCGCTCAAGTCTCAGCACTCTCACTGGTTTTAATTCTGGTCTTCTGGGGATCCATAAAAGCCGCGTGAGAAAGGTCAGCACTAAGGAAAGCGTTGTCCGCGCCAGCCTGGACGCTTATTAGAGCAAACGTTCTCGCTTATTGGAAATAAGTTTGATATGAATAACCATATAATTAAAGTAAAAGTTTGTTACAATGGGGATCAATTAAGACCCTTACTGTAGGGGTTTATCAAATCAGTTAGCATTCGCGAATAAGCTAAGCTTCCAATCGCAGGCAACAGGCGACAACGAATAAATTTGTTCGAAGTGTCTTTCTCAATTATCTACGAACGACATGCAGGCTTCGTGGCTGACTCAGTTTGTCTTTGTGACCCTGTAAATATTCCTGGTGTTCGCGGTGGCGAACAAAGACTTTTGTGCAAACGTTTTAGAAACTCAAGTCGGTAAGTAATAGGCTTCTTCATTAACAACGTCCACATGCATATGCCTTCTAACAGATTTTGCCTTACTCTTACTCATTAACAAAACTGATGTTTTTGACGAGTTTGAATGTCACTTAAAATGTATGGGAAACAGTGGTTGCAAAACATACAAAGTTCATCCCAATGGCTTTGGTGGTAAGCTCATTTGTGAGCAGAACAGCAAGAGCAAGCAGATGAAGCCAGGTGATTTTAAACGGAAGAAAGGATCTACGTTGTTCAGCTACGTACTTTAGCTCAGTTTATAACCCATTTACCTTTACTAAATACCATTTTCTTTTAATTTACCATCCGCATTTGAACATTACTATGACATTGGCGCAAAATATTGTCATGAAATGGTTCTTTCAGATCATTAAGTGAAGGTTGCTTTGTACTTTGATTTTTTTGGAAGCTAAGAAAGGTTCGAGCTCCTAACATCCTGCTCGCTTATGCAAGGTGATCCGGGACACTGGGGACTCCATAGGAGAAGGGGAGACGGGGACTACTGAATCAACCCCGAAAGCAATGGAAACCCTTTAAAGGTCCACTGTGACATGACAACTGATGGAGGTAAGCTATTAGAATTAACTTCCGTGTCGAGTGTAAACATACAAGTCCAATTTCAAAAGAAACGTTAAGAGAGAACAGAGTGAATAGAACTATGCGATATTGTCGTGATGATTTTCTTTCTTAGGTCCATAGTAAGATTACTTCCTGTAACTAACAGGAAGTAAAATTCATGTATTTGTGTCACAGCATAGGCACGTCATTTGAATACTTGTGCCTCGGACAATTTGCGTCCGTTCGTTAACTAATTGTGGTTATAATGTACCGATCAATTGGAAGCTTCAACATCCCCTCGGGCAACCTTCACCCCCCCTCTCCCCCCCCCGGCATTTGACCTTGAGAAGATTGATTTGTTAAAAATTACGGGGCAAAGACTGTTCTCAAATTCCCCAAGTTAAAGGAATGTGTAATATAGTGCGTTTCGACGAGCTCGAGTAATCGGTTTCTGTAGAATGTAAAGTTGTCTATGTAGTTGTTTCTGTCCATTTGAGGAAAATACGATAAAATTAAAATTTTTGAACAACCAGGCATGTCTCTAAAAACTTTGGTCCAACGTGTTTATGACCATACACTCGTTTTTTGTAAGAACGTCTAACTTTGGGGCTGAGGTAACTGTCCACCTACCCCTCCCCTAACCCAACATTAACCCTAACTCGTTATCTATTGGCTGTTGTTGAGTTAGGGGAGGGGTAGGAGGGCAGTTGCCCAGATACTGATATTGATCCAAAGTTCCTTACGTTAAAACGTACATGAGAAATCAACGGTAAAACGTAAACAAATGATTATAGACCAAGCGATAGTCTCAAAGAATGTGCACCATGGCGAGCGAAAAGAAAGCAAACGAAAACAATGTTGAAATTATTAATGTCAACACACAAAAAACTGTCTCTAAGAGAGTAGGAAAATGCTGAAGTGTGGTCCTTACTCCAAAGACTGTTTGATAGTATTGCGAAATGTCTCATTCCAGGAGGCTGGCTACTTGTTGCAAACTTTGTTTCGAACTTTACTTCACCCTCACGCTGGACCGCTGAGTCATCATACCGCGGAGTCAGAAACTTTACCAACAACAAAATGGGTATCACAGTGAGCGCACTGAAAGAACTCAGGTCACACTTGTCTTTCACTCAGCTGAGATTCCACTGCAGTAAGAAACAAGGTCGTACGTTCCGCGTGACCACGGTCAGTAACAGCACCGGTGAAGCTGTGGTTGAGTACTTCAGCGGCCAGACGGATGTGCATCCTGATTCATGTGGGTCTTTTCAGAGAATGGAAGACGACAACTCCAAGTTGGCCATGGAGTGTGAGAGTTTTTTCGCCAGGAGATTTTTGGAAAATCTATGCGCGCTAACTAATTAGTTCAAACAAATATCAAAACAATTTTTGATTTAGTTTTGACCCAGTTTTGAAACAAACAAATTGCGTTCAGTCCTTCGTTTTTTGACTCAATAACTAGTTTCTATGAATTACCTCGACTTCTAAAGACACCAGTCATTATTTTTTCTTGGGGGGAAAGGGGCCTAGAAGTCTGGGAGGATCACATGGATTTCAGGTTGAACTGAGGGGGAATCAGTCGTCGTTTATAGAGTGTAGAGGAAATTGACTGCCAATTAACTGCCAATGATATCATAAGAATTTATAAGTAAATTACCGAGCCTAATGGGAGAATTTGGTAAATTTTATTGTGACACAACCAGAACCCTCCTGACAGAATACAACATAAAGCTGACAGAATAAAACATAAAATATACAAAAAAACAAAACAAAAAAAAAAGAACTAATAGACAAAAAAAGTGACAGGACATAGCAGGATGCGTTTCTCTAAGAACTTCGACTCAACCAAATATATTGACGACTACCAAAACATCATAAGGGAATCTCTTGCTATTATATATACCGACTAATTTACGAAGGAAAACCGGTTTTAATCGTTGACTTAACGGCGCATGTGTTCGTTGATAAATACTTTGTGCATTTATAAAACAAACGTTTCCAAGATGATCAGGTCCTCATATCTTTGAATATTCCATTCAGATTAGTATTTGTCCGTTTGTTTATTTCGCACTCGATATCGTGTTATGACAAGTGAACTGAATAATTTATTAGAGTTAGTCCGTTTAAATTTGAATTAGTCCATACAGTCGCTGCTAAATTTTTGAAATGTGTTTGTATTGACATCTAGTGTACATAAGCATTACAGCTCGTCTGTTTCTGACATTGAATGCGAACCAGAGTAAAATTAGCTTAGAGCAATCTAGAGCGCATTTGAACTAAATTTTATACAGTCACACGGAGACGACATTTTTGCACATACAACTGACACCATACATACAGCAGTTCATGAGATTAAAACCTCAGTTGTAAGATTTTCATGTTTGTAAGATTTTTCTCAACACTGGTTTGTCCTCATAATGATCGGTGTTATATCGTTATACACTTTCCTTTCAATGAAATAGCGATATAAAGTAGTTTGTCATATCTTGTTTATACGTTGGCAATTTGCATGATGTCAGGGACAATTAAGGATTTTTTTGGGAGAGTATTGAACATCATTATCATTATAACAGTATCTGAACTTTGTAGTGATGCAATCTATATGCTATATACATATATATGTATGTGTCTGTAATGAGGGTTTGTCATCTAATGTGTGAAATATAATTTAAAGCTTCAATATTCTCACAAATAGAAGTATATTGGTTTACATAAACTATTTACATTGTTGGTGTAATATGGTCAAATAAAAGTTTTTTGCGGTGTAGCTTGAAATCCTATTTCACACTGTTTAGAGAAATCTACACCAAGGTAAATAAGTCAGCTGTCAATTATGAATGAACTAAACCTTCCTCCTCATGCAACTTTTTTTAGTCCATCGTTAGGTTTTGGGCAGTGACAACTCAAATATGCCAAAGATTCGCATAGAAGCCACACAAAACGGATTATGACAGTGTACTTGGAAATTGTCAGAACTACATAACAATAACTTTGTGGCGACTATTTCATAATAGTACTGAGTTATTTGAAAAATAAAATAACCACGAGATCGATTATGTGACATGGAAAAGCGAGATGGCTGAGCGAAGTCGTGTAGCTTTTAATTATCAGCCGTTTAGAGATCATTATGTGGTCTATTCAGTCTTATATCCATATGATAAAGATAAAAGCTTGTTACAATGGGGATCAATCAAGACCCTTTCTGTGGAGGTTTCGTGGCTGACACAGTTTCTCTTCGTGACTCTTAATGTATCCTTGACCGTTTTGTTCGTTGTGGTGAATAGAGACTTTTTGGAAGCTAAATCAGCTGTCAATAATAAATGAACTAAACTTTCCCCTGCGGCAACTTTGTTATATCTATTGTGAGGATTTGGGCAGAAACAAACCAAAACTATCATAAAGATAATTTGTGCCCCACCATTATCGAGTTTTTGAGGCATAAACAACCAGGAGATCGCCAGTGTAGAATGGAAAGACCAGTGGGTCTTGGTGAAGTCTGGCATCTGGTTGGCCCGTTGGAGACTATTATTTACTTACGAAGTATTTATTTCATATCAATTAAAAGCTTAAAAGCCCCTTCTTAAGATACCTCCTGTTTTTAAGAAACGATCTTAACTACAAACAATATATCAGCTGTAAATAATAAATGAACTAAACTTCCCCTCTGGTGACTTTGTTAAGTTCTTTGTGAGATCCTATTGGCAGAGATGAAAACCAAACTCAACCACGGTTCGAATAGAAGCAACACCAAACAGATTATGTCAAACGATCGCCCTTGAAAATTTTCATAACTACATTACAATGCATTTGGGATGAATATTTTATCATTGCATAAAGTTGTATGGAGCATTAAGTCACCATTAGAGCGATTATGTGAGAGCCTGGTACCTGGTCGGGTAGCTTTTCATCTTCAATAATGACTCAAAATAAAACCTTTTCATAATGGTAATGTAGGCCTCACTTAGGACGTATTAATAAGCGGGTTTATGAAACTAGTTATTAATAATACCAAAAAAATTAAAATAAAAAATGATTGTATGAATTAGAAGAAATTGAAATGCTTTGAGTTGCCTTCTTTGGCTTTTATAGTTATTATTTTTGTCTGACAGATTATTATTTTTTTAATCCTTGTGGAATATAATGTAAACAGCGGTTCAAACTAGTACTAAAAGATTCTGTCTTATTTTGCCCACGGCGGAGAAGTGGTGACTACTGAATCATTTATGATCCGAAAATTGTTTTCCTGTTTAGTAAAATTACTACATGCTGCAAATGAAAGAAATACCCCGGGTGATTTATTTGCCGCTGAATGTTTTGACCAGCTATTATCAACAAATAGCCTCGACTTGGTATTCAATGTTATTCTAAGGTAGACCAGCATTTTGGCAGCAGCTGCGTGGAGCAAACGACCTGAAGCTCGTTGAATACCAAAAAAATATTATGCTTCCTCGGAGGTTGAAGCAATTGGTCTTCGTATCTTTTCACATTTTTCTGGTAGTGTTGTTCGTTGTGGCGAACAATGACTTTTGTGCAAGCGTTTTTGAAACTCAAGTTGGTAAGTAATAACTCGATCAGAACCTGCGGCTTCCTTTTTTTTATAGTTAATGTTTCTACATCGCCAATTTCCTATTGCAAAATTTTCAGATTTCACTTTACTTGATCACGTCATCAACAAAACTGATGTTGCCGATGAGTTTGAATGTCAGCTAAAATGTATGGGAAACAACAGTTGCAAGTCGTTTAATGTTCATCGCAATGGCAATAATGCGAAGAAGCTTTGCGAGCTCAACAACAAAACCCGGCAGATGAAGCCAGGTGATTTTAAACGGAAGAAAGGATCTACATACTATGGTTCGGTTCAGGTCAGTTGAAAATATGTTTCTGGTGTACACATATTCCTTTTTATATTCGAGAGCGGCACAAGGCGAAGATAAAGAAACAAAAAATCTCTTTGGTAATCCGTTTTTATGCTAGAAATTTGGAGCACTGTTACCCTTTTTTAACAACTTTCATTATCATCATAAACTCATCCTCATTTTCATAATTATCATTTTTTTATTGTGCAAAGAAGAACAGCTAACTGAGAAAATTCAACTGCAAAAGCTCTTATTGATCAATTTTAGAGCGTGTGTGTAATTATACATGGTCTTGTTATACTTGGTTTTGCTCACTGTCTTCCCGAAAAGAATGTATAAACTAACCTCTTATCCTACTCTTTAAACCTGGCAGTAGAAATCTACAGAAGTATCCCAAGGCCAATGGAGATTGATTAACGATTCATTGGCCTCCCTTTGCTTTTCTTACATCTGAAATGAAAAAAACGAAAAGTCGTCTTATGCTGTTAACCACTACTCGAAGTTAAAAATATAAATCAAAGGAACTCAAATAATCACCTTATTGAATACCTATCCTAAAAACCGACGAAAAACAACACGAAGAAACATCTGTATGTAATACGTTTTGATAAAACCAACGCAGGGCACTTGTGTAGATGTTTCTCGTCAGCGAAGCGGCAAAACGAAGGGCGGCCAGTGTCATCCGAACTACAAAGGAAAATTGTGCCAAACACGTAAGTGATAAATATCCTTTAACCTAAGAATAACTATTTAATTGGTTCTTACCTATGCTCCATTGGAGGACAGACGCATAAATGGCGTCATCATTCACAAGTTTCGCTTCTTTGTTAAAAACAAATTGGTTCCATTTTTCCGTGTGTTCAGTTGTTAGTTACATTCTCCCCTAAGAATCAGTCATTAAGATTAAGGAATTAAAGAATGATCACCTACGAGACAAGCCGTTGATCATTAAGCAAAGACTCTCTGTCATTACCGCAGGCAATGTGTAACGAAAAGCGTAGAGAATATGAATATAGATGTAAAGGGTTAAAGCGCACTTGTAGATTTTGTTGATGATAATAAGAGCTGCGATTTAGAAACTAAATTTGATCTTTTTCTTTGAAAATTATCAAGTGAGACTTGGCCATTCTGCTGCAAATCCTGGAAAATCTTGCAAGCATATTCTTGAATCAAAAGACTCTGAAGGAGATGGGGAATACTGGATCGACCCTGAGGGCAAAGGAAATCCTTTGAAGGGCTACTGTGATATGAAAACTGACGGAGGTAGGTGAATGATGCCAAGAGATGATACCGCATAAAAATATGCATCGCAATCTGTCATGTCCTAATTATCTACTTATCAAAAAAAAAAAAAAACATTTTGGTGAGAAAAAGAACGATCTAAATGTCAAGTCTATTCCTTGAGCAGTTTACATTCAATTTACCGTTTTTCCCTTGTACATCATATTTTTTCCAATTTGATATGGGCATTGGAAATCTATTATGGAATTTCTGCACTAATTTTTTATCAAGTGTGTGCTCCAGCGGAGTTGTCGACTGGGGCCTTATTTGTTACCTGATTATTTTGGTAGCCAAGAAGGGTTCGAGTGCCCAGCATCCTGCTCGCTCTTGTAAGGAGATCCGAGACTTTGCGGACTCCATAGGAGACGTGGAGTACTGGATCGACCCAGAGAACAAAAGGAATCCTTTTAGGGTCTACTGTGACATGAAAACTGATGGAAGTGAGCCGAGCGTGAATGACTTACCAACGAAAGGAGTTTAGTGCGTCTGTTGCGTACACGTCACAATGGAGATTAAGAATTTTGAAGTAATTAAGGTGCCATGCAAAACTTAAAACATACAAGAAAAAAATCAACGATAAAACTTAAACAAATGATCTTAGACGAAGTAAGATCTAGTGAAAATCTTAAAGAATATGCATTATGGCGAGCAAAAAGAAAGCCAAAGAAATAAAATGTTGGAATTATTAATATCAACACACAAAAAACTCTAAGAGAGTACGAAAATGCTCACGTGTGGTCCTTACTCTAAAGACTGTTTGATAGTGTTGCGTAATGTTTCATTTCAGGAGGCTGGTTACTTGTAGCAAACTTTGTTTTGAACTCTACTTCACCCCCTGACTGGACCGCTGCGTCATCATACCGCGGAATCAGAAAATTTACCAACAACAAAACGGGTATCGCAGTGAGTGCACTGAAAGAACTCAGGTCACACTTGTCTTTCACTCAGCTACGATTCCACTGCAGTAAGAAACAAGGTCGTACGTTCCACGTGACCACGGTCAGTAACAGCACCGGTGAAGCTGTGGTTGAGTACTTCAGCGGCCAGACGGATGTGCGTCCCGATTCATGTGGGTCTTTTCAGAGAATGGAAGACGACAACTCTAAGTTGGTCATTGAGTGTGAGAGTTGGAATAATGACGGAAAATGGGGATTTAATGGAAGCAATGTGGAACGGAGGCTGTACAGATTTGTCGCACACGTTCCATTCAAACATAATTGGCGTCTATATGGTAAATCCTGGTCCTGCGATGATTGGTATCATGTCCCCGTTTCGCCAGGAGATTTTTGGAAAATCTATGTGCGCTAAATAATTAGTTCAACCAAATATCAAAACAATGTTTGGTTAAGTTTTGATCCAGGGTGGAACTACAATTTCTCACTCTGTAAAAAGACAAACAAATTGCTTTCAGTCATTCGTTTGTTGACGCACGTCATAAGATGAAAACCTCGGTTGTAAGTTTTTCAGGTTTGCACGATAACCTCAACACTAGCTTTTTCTCATAATGATCGGTGTTATATCGCTATACATTTTCTTTTTAATTAAGTAGTGTTATAAAGTAGTTTGTCATATCTTGTATATGCGTTGGCAATTTGCATGATGACAAGGACTATAAAGGATTTTCTAGTGAGAGTAGTGAATATTATTTTATAACAGTATCTGAACTTTGTAGTGGCGCAATTTGTAAGCTATATTTGTCTGTAACGAGGGTTGATTATCTAAGGTGTAAAATATGGTTTACAACTTCAATATTCTCACAAATAGAAGTATATTGGTTCAAATAAACTGTTTTCATTGTTTGTGTAATATGGTCGAAAAAAGCTTTTTGCAATGTAGCTTGAGACCCAATTTCACACTGTTTTAAAGAAATCTACACCAAGGTAAATAAGTCAGCTGTCAATTATGAATGAACTAGACTTGCCCCCTCCTGCAACCTTTTTTAGTCCATTGTGAGGCTCTGGGCAGTGACAATAAAATTCCCCAACGATAAGCATAGAAGCCACACAAAACAGATTACTTCGAAATTGTCAGAACTAGATTACAATAACTTTGTGGCGACTATTTCATAATAGCACTGAGTTATTTGGAATATTAAATCACCACGAGATCGATGATGTGACATGGAAAAGCGAGCTCGAGATGGCTGAGCGAAGTCGTGTAGCTTTTAATTATCAGCCGTTTAGGGATCCTTACGTGGTCTATTCAGTCTCATATCAAACTCAATGTTAACAAAAGCCTATATCAAGTCTCGGCGACCATGCCCCCACCACTGTCTGACTCAAGAACACACAAAATTGGAACCTTTGGCTCGATTACTAAGAGACGTTTTGAGAGTAACTAGTTTTACCAAAAAAATTTAAAAGACGAATATTAAAGCTACTTTATAAGTTATTTTGAAATACCAAAGCTTTAGGATTTAAGGGGTCAAAATTCATTTTTTAAAATTACGATTAGACAATTTCCGAAGGCGTTCAAAGTGTCGTATCACCGTTAGCGTGTAAGAAAGGGTCCTAGCTCTTTCGCACATATTCCAATCTCAATTGTACCGCCATATACGAATGGAGCGAGAAATTTCCTTTACTTTGGTATATAATTCGTCTAGTTTCCGACCGATTTAGATGGGTTAGATGGCCGCTCAAGTCTCAGCACTCTCATTAATTCTGGTCTTCTGGGGATCCATAAAGGCCGTGTGAGAGAGATCAGAGGGTCCAAAAACAGAATTTTCCGGCCCCTCGTTACTTTCGTTTACATGCAGTATTAACAAGTAAGTAGTCTCATAAATGAATTGAGCGATTATATTTTTTTCCTTTTGTTCTCAGAGATACGGAATTTCATATAATACTAAAATTTTTTTGCTAGTAAGTCTCGAATATGTCAGATACTGGTCGTCTTTACCAATTTTTCAGCCATCTTTTCCACACAATTGCCAAAGAGGATGGAGAGGGAAGTGGCGAATCTACCTTCGCTGCATTTGTGGAGAAAATCATGCAACAAACGTGCATTAGAGGCATCTTCGTCAACAATCGAAGAACAAACGCCTCAAGGAAAAAGACTGGGACCATGTGTGCAAAGCCAAAGCGAGCAAAGAGGAAAAGTGAGGGTTTTGGTGTGAAGAGCCGTCACTGACAAGCGGCGTGACGCAATTTTTCCCTTCAAGTTCCTTTATCACGAGCTGGGTAATTACTTTATAGAAAACAAGCGCTAGTGGAATATTCGGAGAATGAAATTACCAAGCGAAAGAAACTTGAGGAAGAGCTCGAAGACTCAGAGTGAAGCTGCAAGTATCACCAAAAAAAATTCTAAAGATTTCAACGTGGTGAATTTTCTCTCGCTTTGCGACTTTGTCTACGGCTGTCACAACGACAGGATGAAAGTTTACGGTCGTTGGTTTTGTTCTTGTCTTCTTTCTCAATAAAAGCCCCGTTGAAAAGAGCTCGTCGGAGTATCGTTTTGGGATTTTTCTTTCTCTTTCAGCCGCCATGTATACAAATGTAAATTGTCAATAATGCGATTGATACTCTAATGCGCAAGCGCAGTAAGGAAAGCGTTGTCCGCGCCAGCCTGGACGCTTATTAGAGCAAACGTTCGCGCTTATTGGAAATAAGTTTGATATGAATAACCATATAATTAAAGTAAAAGTTTGTTACAATGGGAATCAATTAAGACCCTTACTGTAGGGATTTATCAAATCAGTTAGCATTCGCGAATAAGCTAAGCTTCCAATCGCAGGCAACAGGCGACAACGAATAAATTTGTCAGAAGTGTCTTTCTCAATTATCAACGAACGACATACAGGCTTCGTGGCTAACTCAGTTTGTCTTTGTGACCCTGTAAATATTCCTGGTGTTCACGGTGGCGAAAAAAGACTTTTGTGCAAACGTTTTAGAAACTCAAGTCGGTAAGTAATAGGCTTCTTCATTAACAACGTCCACATGCATATGCCTTCTAACAGATTTTGCCTACTCGGGCACTTCTTTAACAAAACTGATGTTTTTGACGAGTTTGAATGTCACTTAAAATGTATGGGAAACAGCGGTTGCAAAACATGCAAAGTTCATCCCAATGGCTTTGATGGTAGGCTCATTTGTGAGCAGAACAGCAAGAGCAGGCAGATGAAGCCAGGTGATTTTAAACGGAAGAAAGGATCTACGTTGTTCATCTACGTACTTTAGCTCAGTTTATAACCCATTTACCTTTACTAAATACCATTTTCTTTTAATCTATCATCCGCATTTGAACATTACTATGAAATTGGCGCAAAATATTGCCATGAAATGGTTCTTTCAGATCATTAAGTGAAGGTTGCTTTGTACTTTGATTTTTTTGGAAGCTAAGAAAGGTTCGAGCTCCCAACATCCTGCTCGCTTATGCAAGGTGATCCGGGACACTGGGGACTCCATAGGAGACGGGGAGACGGGGACTACTGAATCAACACCGAAAGCAATGGAAACCCTTTAAAGGTCCACTGTGATATGACAACTGATGGAGGTAAGCTATTAGAATTAACTTCCGTGTCGAGTGTAAACATACAAGTCCAATTTCAAAAGAAACGTTAAGAGAGAACGGAGTGGATAGAACTATGCGATATTGTCGTAATGATTTTCTTTCTGAGGTCCATATTAAGATTACTTCCTGTCACGAACGGGAAGTAAAATTCATGTATTTGTGTCACAGCATAGGCACGTCATTTGAATACTTGTGCCTCGGACAATTTGCGTCCGTTCGTTAACTAATTGTGGTTATAATGTACCGATCAATTGGAAGCTTCAACATCCCCTCGGGCAACCTTTGACCTTGAGAAGATTGATTTGTTAAAAATTACGGGGCAAAGACTGTTCTCAAATGCCCCAAGTTAAAGGAATGTGTTGTCTATGTAGTTGATTCTGTCCATTTGAGGAAAATACGATAAAATTAAAATTTTTGAACAACCAGGCATGTTTCTAAAAACTTTGGTCCAACGTGTTTATGACCATACACTCGTTTTTTGTAAGAACGTCTAACTTTGGGGCTGAGGTAACTGTCCACCTACCCCTCCCCTAACCCAACATTAACCCTAACTTGTTATCTATTGACTGTTGTTGAGTTAGGGGAGGGGTAGAAGGGCAGTTGCCCAGATACTGATATTGATCCAAAGTTCTTTACGTTAAAACGTACATGAAAAATCAACGGTAAAACGTAAACAAATGATTATAGACCAAGCGATAGTCTCAAAGAATGTGCACCATGGCCAGCGAAAAGAAAGCAAACGAAAACAATGTTGAAATTATTAATGTCAACACACAAAAAACTGTCTCTAAGAGAGTAGGAAAATGCTGAAGTGTGGTCCTTACTCCAAAGACTGTTTGATAGTATTGCGAAATGTTTCATTCCAGCACTTTTGTTTCATTCCAGAAAATTTGTTTCGAACTTTACTTCACCCTCACGCTGGACCGCTGAGTCATCATACCGCGGAGTCAGAAACTTTACCAACAACAAAATGGGTATCACAGTGAGCGCACTGAAAGAACTCAGGTCACACTTGTCTTTCACTCAGCTACGATTCTGCTGCAGTAAGAAACAAGGTCGTATGTTCCACGTGACCACGGTCAGTAACAGCACTGGTTAAGCTGTGGTCCAGTACTTCAGCGACCAGACGGATGTGCCTCCCGATTCATGTGGGTCTTTTCAGAGAATGGAAGACGACAACTCTAAGTCGGTCATGGAGTGTGTGAGTTGTAATTATCAGGGAAAATGGAGTCATGCTCCGGTTTATGTGGAAGTGAGGCTGTGCAGATTTGCCGTATACGTTCCACCCAAGTATCATTGGCATCTATTACATGGATACTAGTAGATACAGCACCGGTGAAGCTGTGGTTGAGTACTTCAGCGGCCAGACGGATGTGCATCCTGATTCATGTGGGTCTTTTCAGAGAATGGAAGACGACAACTCCAAGTTGGCCATGGAGTGTGAGAGTTTTTTCGCCAGGAGAGTTTTGGAAAATCTATGTGCGCTAACTAATTAGTTCAAACAAATATCAAAACAATTTTTGATTGAGTTTTGACCCAGTTTTGAAACAAAAAAATTGCGTTCAGTCCTTCGTTTTTTGAGGCATTAACTAGTTTCTATGAATTACCTCGACTTCTAAAGACACCAGTCATTATTTTTTCTTGGGGGGAAAGGGGCCTAGAAGTCTGGGAGGATCACATGGATTTCAGGTTGAACTGAGGGGGAATCAGTCGTCGTTTATAGAGTGAAGAGGAAATTGACTGCCAATTAACTGCCAATGATATCATAAGAATTTATAAGTAAATTACCGAGCCTAATGGGA